CCAACCAACCAACCAAAACAAAACTAAAACCAGCAAACCTGTTTGAGAAATTGGACTTGGACACAGGAGCTGCTCGCTTACAGACTTCTTTATGATGTACCTGAAGATGTGGAAGTGTTCTTGCGTTTAGGAGTACTAGGCATGGTCAGAAAAACTGGAATGCTGTGTACAGAAGGGGTAAATTTGGGGGAATTAGTAAAAACACCTGAACAAAAAGAAATCCCTTTAATGTAATAATCGTAAATAGAAACAAGGAGAAGGCTAGAGTAAGATTGCCTTTCAGTGAATAGTCTTCAAGGCCATTTAGTTTTTCTATGGTCATTGTGGAAAAAAAAAAAAAATCTTAACAGCTTAAAAATGTAACATACTAACTTAATGATAGAGACATTCATCCTTGGTTCCTTACTGTGAAAATTTCCAAAGAATGCAGTCCAGATTTCATCCTTTCTGGATCTAAGTCAGCCAGAGTTGCATTTATTTTCTTAGCACTGTTTTCATTCCCGAAATGAGTGTTTATTAGAAATAGGTAACAGAAAGCAAGGCCATTTTGTGCCAAAAGATTCTTCTAAATCTAATGTGTTTTTGCTTCAGGAACTTTAGATGTACAAATATTTCTGTGGGTTTGGGAGGGAACTAGCTGTTTCCTTTGAGGCATCAACATGAGCATTTTGGGGCTAAATCCTTGTCTCTGCTGGGACACTGGAACAGGTTTCTAAGGCCCTTATGTAATTTAGGGCTCGCCAGTGTTGATGAATGGACTTTAAGAACTGTCAGGCTTTGTAGAAAGCCTGGCTAGGATACTGGTGGGCTTGGCACTTGAAGTCCAGATCCTGACCAGATAGGGACTGCACTTAGGGAGGCCTGGCCAGGAGAATAGCAGAACAAATTACTAATGACACCTAAAGGAGAAAAAAGAATTTGGAAAACATCACGGATTCGGTGTTCATGGTTTGACTTGCCACAATTATAAAAATACATGAGTTTTCATCAGGTTTTCACTGAACGTTTCGCTAAGCTGGATCTTGTCTTAAAGTATAGGGACTGAGCTTTTGATCATCGGTATTGCAATGAATTGAGGGGAAGACGTAAGGAAAAAAAATACAGAAACTTAATCCTAACTAATAAGTGAGAGATTTTATAATTTTTTTTTATTATTTAAAAAAAAAACAAACCAAAAACAAAAAACATTTTCTGAAGAAACCTCTTTTTGGTTCACTTGTTTTCATGTTGGACCCTGAGCCTGCAGAAATGCAAAAATTTAACTTTCCAGTGAGGAGTGAATGTGGCAACATATGGTGGGGGTCTACAAAGCAAGTGTGTTTGTCATCTTAGACACTTACTCCTAGAGGATTTCCAGCTGTTTTTTTGTTTTTCCATCCTCTCCACCTTCAAACTACCAATTATCCCTCACATGATGGTAACTTCCAGACTGGTGGAGATACAGAAACCACAGAAGGTAGATTTATATAGTTACCTTCCCTGTGCAGTAGTGCTCATCTTCATGTTGTTTGCTTTTAAAGAACTCATTGGAGCCTGGTTACAGTGAGGGAAGGCTGGCTAGCCAAAGGTTTTTCACTGGGAAATAAAAAATTATCCTCAGTACTGAAGCTGGACAGACTATGATGTCTGGGAGTAGATATCTTTCCCTGTGAGTCACCAATTCAAACTATATCTGAATGAACAAGGCCCAGGTCTGAATAATTATCTATAGGAAATGTATTGGTGTTCTAGTTCAGGGGTGAATTCACATCCCAGCTGGAGCTCAGTAGTTTAGCTGTCAACAATCCCAGGAAAATGAAGCAAAAGAGATTGTCCTAGAGGACTGGAACATACTGGTAAGGGAATCTGAAGAAAATACTGCATTAGTAGTGTTTCACTTTATTTACAAATAAGAAGAGATGATTTATTTCAGTGCTAGCAGAACTGGCAATGCAACAATTAGCTTTGCTAATATACAGGCTTTATGCAAAAAATTACGTGCTTGCCTGTGAAACATTTTTGTGTCATATTCTATCATCTTTGGCTCATACCTCTCCCTTGTAGTTTTGTGACCCGATCTGATAGTCTGTGCTATCACACATAACAGAAAACACCAATGCATAAAAGAATGAACAAACCAAGTAGGAAGACACCAATCATACGGGATTTACAGATGGAAGAAAATGTTGCCGTTATTCAATCTATTTCATATGGTGCATATTTGTGGTCTAGAAAAAGTATATACAGGTAGCTGTTTGCATTTGAAACAGAGAAACACTGCATGTGTTGATTTATGGTTAAAAAAGTCTTTTGAGAAGCATGTATTGGCTTGAATGCTTGGATCCTGTTTTGAAATCAATTTAATGTTATGCTTGCATTGTGATAAACATTTCAGAGCAGAGCTGCTCATGTCATTCACATATAAGGTATTGCAATTATTCTTGTTAGAGATGCAGTAAGAACTGAGACAGCTTGGCTGTTGTAGCTGCCGTTGTAGCCGCCTGTACAAATGGTCCCAGTTCATGTCGGGGAGCAAATTAAACAGATCAGTTAAGTCCAAGACAAAAAATTTTTGAGCTGACCTGTGTAATTTTACTCCCCAAAATGAAGTAGAAGTAATCCCATTATTTGTTAAAACTGAATCTTCAGTTTTCAAAACCTTTGAAGGTCTATATGTAGAGGGAAGACATCATAGATTTATTTGGGGGAGAGAAAAAAAAGGAGGGGGAATGGTTTCAGCTACAGGAAACATTATGGAGAATAGTATTCATAATAGCTCATTACTACTAAATCCAAAACAAAATGTCCCAGCAAACATGTTAAGAATCCCTACCAATTCTTGTGAAGGGAAGCTACTCACCTCTCTGGCACCTCATTTTCACCCAGGTTAATTTTTATCCATTTATTTTCCTTATACATAATAAAAATAAGAATTTGGAGCAGTAAATTGTTACATTGTATGTCCATGCTGAGGTGCTAAAAAGCAATTTGCTTTAGAAGCATTATGCATATGATCTATCCCTTAGATTGCCAAAAATAGGAATGCATATGCATGAGATGGGAAGACTGAAGTAGGACTTGGGACTGATAGTCCTGAGGCTTTTGGGGATGTGTCAGCTTTTGCAGGATAAAGATCACTTCTCCACTGCCAAACCAAGAAAGCCAACCTATGTAATTATGAGAAGCTGGGATAAGTTCAATACAATATTTTTAAAATGTAAAATTTGGTCCTGCTTGGTTTTCAGAAGGGGAAGGACCCTGGCAGACAAAGCGAAAACTACAAAGTTCATAATTAGAATTTCAAATTTTTGTGGCAGTTGAACTACCTAAGGGTTTTTAATTTTAGAAAAAAATTATGATGTGTTGGTAAATTAAACATGCAGATTTTTGGATGCCTTTGAAGAAGGGTATGTGTGTCTCTGACATGTGACCGCATTAAGGAACAGAATGTATTTGAATGTTGCTGAAAACGACTGAGGTGTCTACAGGGAGTAGGGTCACTAAACCATTTCTGAACAAACCAGAAGTGGGTCAAATCATCTACTGAGTCACTGCAAGAAAATTATTAACATTTTCTCTGAAGTTACAGAGAAACCATTGCCACTGTGGCTAATTTTTCTATAACACTCGAATGCTGACCAAGCTTGACTTTCTATGTGCCAGAGCTGTCTGTCAGCAACGAGTAACAACTAACGGATCGCTGAACCCAAAGACAGTGAGTAGGTCTCCCCACGGACTGTCAGTAAACAAGGTATAGGAGGTTGTTTTCATCCAAAATCTTTTAAGACCTGAAGAACTTCTGATAGTTTTGTAGTTCCTATGTACCTACTTATAAACCTTTTCCTCTTAAGATTGCTCCAGTCAACACACTGGACTCTAAGCATTAAGCAATTCCATTTTGGACTATAACATTTAAGTGAAAAGATAAGTGCTGCACTTCTTTCAGCTCTAATTGTGGAGTTCCATATGCATAGCAGTGTTGGCTCTGTACCTCTGGATTACAGCAGCGTTCCTATTATCTGAAGTACTGCTGTGTTTTGGGGAAAAAGTGCTATTTTACACTCCATTCAAATCGATGTAAACACCATCAATCTTAGCAAAATTTTCCTCTAACACATGAAAGAAATATTAATTTGTATCAGATAGTGTTATACTACTAAGGGCATTTAAATCAAGTGGTGATCTCCACAGGTTTCTTTTCCTCATTCTGATTGTTTCCTTGCTTTGTTATTTTTTCTTTTAAGTGTCTAATTCTGAAAAACAGAGGCATTAAATGAATCATTAATTCATAAAATATCCATCTAAATATTCTAAAACCTTCAAATTAAAACAAGAAAACAAGCAAAGGGTTATCATTTCAAACTATGAATTAATTCTGAAGTGACAAGCATATGCAGCCGTTTGTAAGATATGTCTACAGTTCCTGAAAGACAGATGTGCTTATTTTCCACAGCTGAAGACCTGACTGCTTGTTTTCTTCCTGAGAACAAGTACAGCACTTGAAACTCAGCCTTGTGCTGCTGCTTTTGTTTACCTAAAGGGGAAGGTAGATCCCAAAGGAGAATCGCCAGTCCCGTCGGGGAAGCTGGAGCTGCTCTGCCGGAGGCAGGCCTTGCTGTCAGCGCTGCCCTGCCAGCCAGCCCTGCCCGAGGTTAATTAACAAAGAGGCTAGAGAAATTCTAAAACTCCCTGGTCCCCCATGCAGCCACCTAAAATAGTTATTAGCAACGTGAATGCTGCCCATGCCGTTTTACTTAAGACTCACTGAGCCAGGCATAACCTCCAAGCACAGACCTTTGAGGTTGTGATGGGCATAGCGACTGGCTATAAATTGAATTAACTTGCCAGAGCCAGCTTACTTGTAAGTTTGTCTCTAGGTTAACCATGCAGACTTCATGTACAACCAACCTTCTACGTTCCTAATTCCATGAGAGGTATTCAGTGAAAAGGGCCACATAACAAAAACCAGCATGGTCTAACTTGGGTTGTGTCAGAAGGGAAGAAGCAAAAAGCGTACGCTGTGAGTGGTAAATCTGAGATTTTAATGGCAAGAGAGCTTTAGGACTACTAATACACCAAAACCAGAAAACTAGTTTGGAGAGGAAAGAAAATACTAACATTGCATTTACTAATTTTTTAAAAAACCCAAAACCTGAACTGACCAGTGCGTGCTCACACAACAGACCTGAAGATCCAGCTATAAAGCTGTGCACAAATGGAACCTGTCTCCAGAGGCATTGTAAGGACTGCAGGTTAAGTTTCAGAACACAGCCACCGAAGTAATTTCTGATATCTTCCCACAGTTTTCTGAAACAGCAAATTTTGTAAGCTGTGATTTAGGAGCACTCCTGGTTTAAATGAGCAGGGGCCATCGTATCACAGGCTGCCACACGATCAGGACAAAAAGCAGTCAGCAGATTTTTCAGAAGTTGGTTGTCAGCTGCCAGGTTAAAACTCATTGCAAAGGAAGCACAATTCTCTTGGGGATGAGTTATTTCAAGCTCCTGGAATGAACTCCCACTGGAAGCAATAAACACCTTAAATGTCATTTTCTTTTTCCAAACACAGTTGGACCTTGTTTTTACTAACAAATATAGTATATGTAGGGAATCAGAGTAACAGACTGCATTTCACACTGTAAATCCTTGCTGACTGAAGTATGGGAGAATGCTCACACACAACAACTATCATTAACATGATGATAAATATATTTAGTGACTTGGCAAAGGTAGAACTTTATAGTAGTAGTGTGGAGTAGCTTACAACACTCAGCTGAGATAATTAATTAACTGTATTACTTTTTGATAACGTGGTTTTTACTGTGATACTTTTAAGGAATAGATCAACTGCATTTCTTGTATAGATGTTCTGAAAGAAATCTGAGGAAAAAGTATTGCATTTAGAGCAAAAATAACATTCGACTTTGAAGAACAGTGCAAAAACATTGCTGAAAGATTTTACAGTAAACCAGTAATTCTTCCAATCTCATGGTTTGTTAATAAATCCACAAGTGTTTTCTTTTCACTTTTTGAGTGTATTAGGCCTCATTTGCAAGCTGTAGTATTGCTTCACCAGTAGCAGTGCTGTCTCCAGAGAGGCCATTTCTAGAGGCAGAGATGTACATATATATAGAAATTTCATTACCTTCTCTCAATTCCCGTATGTGCTCTCCAGCTCTGTCATTACTGGCAAAACTTATTTGTATCATGAGATTCTCTAAACTACTAAACCACCCCTACCTAATGCAACTGTTAAAAACTGTATTTCAAATAGGTGCTAATAAAACAGTTAAGAGCTATTCTGTGAGTATGACTTGTTTTTTTTTTTCCCCAAACATAACAGCCAAAGCAATAAAAGTTACAATAAAAAGTGCAGAGAAAATTATTAAAGATTTCACAGTTTTACCATTTGAAACTGTGACTGTGTAGGAAAGCAGTTTTCTCTTAAGAGAAAAACTGAATTACTGTATCAGAAACTTGTACTGAAGGTATCTTCAAGTACATCTTTGGACCATCAAGCAAAGACTGCACAAATTTAAGTACATGTATGATGACTGTGGTAAAATAAAAGGGTAAGAACCAGAAGCAGTAGTACTCTTGCACTAAGGCTGTTTGTCTGTGGTCCTAAAAGGCAGTTTTGTCCTTCCCAGTTCTGTTAAATACAGATAGTCTGGTTTTCAGGAAGAACGCATCTCCTAAAGACAGACTTGACCTTTTCTTCAAGCTGTTGCTTTGTTTACTGTAACAGAAACTATATATAAGAACTTGAAAATGCAAGTTTTCAGCTGGCTCTGTCATATACCACAGCTAATACTGCATTTAGAATGTAGTAATGTGAAACTGACCCCCACCAAAAATATAGCAGGTTTTAAGGTTTATTTCCGAAATGTTGATATACACCGTAGTAATTACAGATCTTTTTTTAAAGGTTATCATATTAATGAAATGGGTTAAAGTTTTAATATAATGACAGAATTATAGGTATGATGATGGCTGAATGTTGTTAACAATTCTCTGTTGTCACGTTGCTGTCCAGGTAACGGTGTTTCAGTCTTATTTCTGGCCAAGTTGGGACAGCTAGACACAAAGAGAGAGAAAACCATTAGGTTGCTAATCTTACTCTTTCAGTCAAACTAATATCCAGTTCACACAGTAAATATTTCTGCCCTATAAGCTTTGTTTATCTCTTACAACCAAAAGTATGCTGGTAATAGACTATTTAATGTATACCCTCACAGGACAGCAGCTGTGCTTAAGATTTGAAGATTTGAATAAATCTCAGAGGTGAAGGTGCAGCATATACTGTCAAGTCAGCAAAAAAGTTAAGCTGACTGAGGAGTTATAAGCTGATAGGTACCAACTGTCTCCTTCAAGTGCAGCAAGATTTAAGTTAGTTCTTTAAAATGTAGTGTTGATGAACAATTTATTCTCATCGTAGTAGGAAGTAAAACCATCAGTGGTGACAGCTACTGACGGGCTGCTATTTGCTGACCACTGTGAATAGTTTTTAGTTTGCATTTGTATTGGAATGAGGCATAGAGAAGTAATGGTGATGGTAATGTTTTTAACAGCACTAAAAGATTGATTTTAGTCCAGGTATGGACAGCATCAAGCTCCCACTAGGCCACGATTTATAAATAGCAAAGTTTAGGACAACGTTTTAAAGATCACAGTTGAATAACAGTTTTTAACTTGTAAAAGTCACTAGGATAGCCTGGAAAGACATGCGGTTTGTGAAAGTATCAAGAACTGAGTCATTGTTTTCATTAGGATTTATGTTAAAGCAATTACGAAGTGAACTCACACTGACAATACAGGCCTTCAAAAGGTAAAGAAAAATAGGTACTTCAAACACCCATTTCAATCAAGTGAAAACAGATAACAAGAATCTGTATTAATCTTTCAAAAATTAATTTGATTTTTTTGTAAGAAACCATGTAGAGATGTAAAGGTAAATAAGGCAACACACAGTTACAGAAGTAATAAATACTACCGAGGTTATCAAAAGCACCTACCTGTTTTATAAACTGTGTAGCATTAAAAAGTTCACTGCAGCCATACAGGACGTGTTTGCCTTGTTTACCCTAAAAGAACACAAGACAGGAAGAAATCAAGTGTTTAACAGCGGAGAATAAGTGGCTTAAACTAAATGTATATTAAAAAATTCTGATGATTTTGAAGTCTTACACTTTTGGCTGGAAAAATAATAGTTGTTTCACGAGAGGACAAAAACTCGTAACTAAATTGAAGTGGAAAACAAGAGACCAGAGACAGAAAGAAAGTGGTAAAAATGGGGCACTCCACACATTTAAAGTCACTAGAATGCCAAATTCTCTGACATATCTCTGAATGGCTTGGGGAAGCTAACTGGAGCAAACCCTAGCACCTAAAATAACCTGGCACTGAGCTAACAGCAACATCATCTTTACTGTTTCTGTTGTGTTAGAGCCTGAAAATGTCAATCTGTAATTTATTTCCATGTGAGGGTGATAATGTTAAAAACAGCATTTTTTTTTTTTTTTGTAAAGGGATTCTGAAACAAAATGTTGATTTCAATCCGGTGCATAATAAATCTAGTGTTCCCTTGATAGGGAGGCTACCCAAGTGCTATGTTAGCACTTTGGAAGTGAAAATTAGTTTAATACATACATAGCTTCAGATTGAATTTATTTGCAGTGTTGGGCTACTAATCCCATGGTTCCTCAAAGTTCAAGCTGTTCAATCTGTTTCACTGTTAAATTATTTTGCATTTTCCCCTATTAGTCAGGTAAAGCTTACTTTTTAAAGAGCAATAGAAACATAAGGCTTGACAAAATCAAAATGGTTTTGTTTCATATATATATTACCAATTGTGCTGTTTCAGCAGAAAGTAACAGAACCATATTTGAACAGTGCTTAGCTGGTGGTCACACACTAATTGGGGAGATGGTAATCCTGGTTCAGATCCTCATCTTTATTAATGTTGAGTGGTTTGCGGCAAGAAGCTATTCTTGTCGCTGAGCAGCATCTTGAGTTTTCAGCTTCTCACAGTTCAGGCCAGTTTTTTTAATCCTGATGCCCAAACAGGTCTGGTTTTGATCTAAACTGGTGTTTTGACAGATTCCACTTTCAGTAGTATGACTGAGTATCATTTGTTTCTGCCTAGTACCAAAACAAAATTTTTACCTATACAACTAATTGTGAAATGGGACTGTTGCCTTTCAGGCAGCTCTAAAATACATTAATGTACACTTCCAGTTTGTCTAGTATATTCTTCTAAAAGTGTAATTTTTAAAATGCATGCTTTTACTTAATTCAAACAAGGAGCTGTATCTCCAAATAATTACTGAAGCCAAGTCGGAACTGCCTAACATCTAAAAAACCCAAGACCTCACTACTTTTCAAAGCCCAGTATTTTATAATGACTAAAAAACTCTTCTGGATTTCACAGGTAGATTGGAACAGATTATCAAGCAGTACCTTTCTAACCATCTACAAAGGAACTGAAAGGACATGCTATAAATTCTTTCGTACAAAGCAGTATGCCAGTCTTCTCTTGGAGGCTCCCTACGGTTTGCAATTTTGATGACACATTTTCGGCATGTTGAACTGAACTTGGCCAATATATCTCTATTTTAAGGCACAATCTGCCTTACTGACATTGTAAGTATTTGCTTTTTGATGATGAAAATAGTCCATTTTAGCACAGAACTGCAAATAATTGGATTTGAGGGTTCCTCTTAATTCTACAAAAAACCCCCCAGAATGTGAAAGCTGCATGAACATTGCTTCCTGTTTTAGAAAGTTTTAAAATACTTTCTCTGTACTTTCAGAGGCAAACTGGCAAAACAGTTAGTGCTTACAAAAATAAAGCAGTGAATAAAATCTTTGTGGTATCTGCTTGCAAGAACGGAGCTGTTGATTTTTTTTCTTTTTCATTCTGGAGGAAGACTGAATATTATAGAATAATTAATAAACTACATGTTGTTTTAACTGATGTTGGAAGTGTACTGCATGATAGAGTGAATTTTTATTGCATATGCCAGGAAGAGTCACCCGGGAGAGGCAGACAAGTCTCTGGGGGGTGGGAGGTGGAATTAAGGCTTTCATTAACCTTTCTTGTTTTTTCACGAGCAAACGGCTAAGTGGAATAACACTGAAGGAGTCTGCCCCTTGGAGGAGGTCATCTCCCACTGCCCAAGTACACAGGGCCACTGGAGAAGCAGACAGCACCCTTCAGCTGTGACGACTGATGATGAAGAAACTTCTGTCCACAGGATCCAGAAGAAAAACTACGTCCAACTTCTGACTCTCTGTAAGATCTAACGTTACCATTCCTGTAGTTTCCAGTTCCTTCTGTCCTTCCCCTCTGTTTACCAGATGACCTCCTGTTTGCCCTCTTATGCCTCAGAAACTTCAGCTTCCTGCCTCTCTGTATGAAGTGTTGAGCATTTAACTTAGCATACAAATGCTCTGTATATACACATATATATGCATACGCAGCAAACTTCAGCTCTGTCACTACACAGCTACGTATCCGAGAAGCGTATTAGCCTCTAGGGGATTCAGAGTTTTGTTTTTAGTAGGAAGTAACAAATACACATCACAAATACAAATGTTGCTGGGAATCTTTTGAATTGATATGGCACCTGAAGTGGCTTTGGGTAAAGTAAAGAGTAAGCCAAATGTTTGACAATGCACTCTGCTACAGGCAGATGCATCACTGAATGCTGTGATTAGTTACCAAGAATAGTGGTAAGTGCTAAGCTGAGCCTAAATAACTTAACTTACATTCTTCTTCCTCTCCTATCCCCTATCCAGCCTGGCTCTATTCCAAAACGACTGCTTGTTAGAGGGGGAAAACAACTTGGCACACATGTTCTGACTTCGCATTCTTCAAGATTCACCTGGGCATACAACTCCTATGTGCTTGTTTTGTGGAAGAAGTGCTTTTCAGTGACTAAGGCTCCATATTGAGACTTTTAACACAAAATAAATCCAGTCCACCCCAGGACAGGACAATTGTACCATGAACAAGGTTAAGATCAGGAAGAAAGAAAGGTATGCTGCTGCTCTTAAATAACTTATTATCTGCTTCAAACTTTTATCAAGGTTCCTTCTTTTTTTATTCCTGGAAAGTGCTTGAATCCCACCCTTGCCCCCCAAGAACTCTAATGATTTAGTTCCTTTTCTCTATCCACTGATTTTTGGTATACATGTGTTCTGCTAGGCTGGCCAACTGGAACCAGAATAATTAAATCTCTTACACCATCATTATGTAGTTGTTTACATGTTTTCTTCCTCGTGCACTTAACATTTCTTATGATTTCTACAGACTCAAATGATGCAGCACATGAAGAATGAGCTTCCGTTAACTGACTGGCAAAAACCTCTAAATGTGGGAAAATAAGCACTCAGATATTGATCCACTCTGATCATTGCTTTGACAGATAGCATAGTATTTGCATTATGTTGGCTTCTGAAACAACACACATTACGCTCAAGGAAGATTGTTGTAGATTAAGATACTGTTACCTGTAGGCCTTGTTTTGAACTGACTTCATATTGCCAAGTTACATATGCAAAAGCACTGTAGTATCTCTTTTGTGAGATCTATGAAAAATAGACAATTCTAAGCAGTTCCTTACTTTCAAGGCTATGATATGCTACAGCTGCTTTATTTAACAATAGCAAACAAAAACTAGTAGCAGAACTCTCAAACAATATGGACAGCCAAACTGACAGCATTTGATGTATCACTAACAGAAGACAGGTTAATTCAGTTCGCTACATCTGCTGACAATTTTCTACCATGTGAGGGTGTATGAAGATAAACTAAAGCAGAACGCAGTTTATTTACGCAATTCAAAAGTGCAACATGACCAGAAATACCAGAAACAGTAACTCTTTGTTGGTCTGAATTAATAATCCACATTTTCTATTGATTTCTTACATGCTTTTTCGCATATAATAAGGATGGCAAGGCTAATTTAATGGACTTAATACTAAATGTTACGGAAAACCCACTAAAACTGGTTTCTATCAGTAAGTTATAGACTATAATCGACAGAAGTGCACGTACCTTTATGTAGTCAATAAGATTTTGATATTCAATATAGTTGCCACCTCCAACTACAAATACTATTGCCTAAAAGACAACACACACATCATCAGAGTATGCATTCAAATTCTTAATATTGCAGTAGTAAAATATACACCAAATCATTAAATCTACAGCAATTCATGCTAATCACACTGCAGTCTAATAAGAACTGTATACAGAAGCACTAGCTTCCTGCCTGAAATAAGGTAATAGAAGAATTTTATTAGGATGCAGAACTGCAAGCTGAGAGCTTTTAACATGTCACCATTTTCTACTAACAAGTACTTGAAACATAAGTTTCAACGTGTTACTTTTTTGTACAGAGATGTCTCTAGTGTCCATAGGAACAGTTAAAATATTTCCATGGTTGCTTAAGTATTACTTTGGGACACAAATAAAATACTTCTGTTATAAAGGAATATACTGTTTCATTATTTTTCCCCCCCTCCCAGTTACTACTGGTAATAATCTGTAAGATTACAGGTAAAGGCCATCAGTATTTTCTGGACTATGTTTAAAAGAGAACAATTAATGAACAGAAAAAGGAGACTTAAATGTTGCATCATTTTTGTTAATGTTCACTATCCAAAATTGTTTGACTACACTGTAGGAATTTTATACAGACGTTATGTTATTTCTGACATTGTTGCTCTGACACCACACAGCATTTCTTGTGTTCAGGAGGATAATTAGGACATTTCAAGAGAAATCTGAGACATTTGTATATTCCCAAGGCAAAGATTTTGCTTATGAAACGTGGTAGTAAGATCTGATAAGCAAGACTTCTATTATTTGCTAATATTTACATTGAAAAATACTGAAAGTTACTGGCATTTGTATAAAATGACAACATTTGTTATTTTGCTTTTTTCCTTTAATTACAGAGACTTTAAAATCCTGTCACTTAAATCAGTGGTCAACACTGCTGTTTAAGGCTGAAGAAAGGATTAAATTTAGAGAGCATTCTACTGGTATAAAAATGGGGGTTTGAAACTGTTGAGTACGCAATTATGATATTAATAAATCCCACTAATTACCTCTGGAAGACTTTGAGATTTTTTTTTTCTCCAGTATTAGTTAATGCTTACGCAGTCCTTTGAAGATGAAAAGACTTCTTCAGAAAAACAGCTAATTGTAATTAATACTAGATATAATTAAGTGGTTTTTGCAAACATGACCTCTCATTTTCTTAATCATGATCATAAAAAATGACTGGTACTTTTTTTTTTTTTTATTTAAACACAGGAACATTGAAACATAATTTCTACACGACTTACCTCCTGGAATGGATTTTTGTTTCTTGGAACTGAGCTAGAAGAAGAAACAAATAAACTACAACTTAAATTTTAGTAGACATTACTATATGCAAAGTACCATGTACACATCACGTTTATGGAATACTACATAGACAGAGATACAAAACAGAACAATAACTGCCCTTCTGCATTCATTTTCCAAGTATTTTATTTAAATGATTTGCTATAGAAAATCACTCATTCTACAGGACTGAGTATAGGAGTAAACAGGAGTTTAACTTCATCAGTTTTAAGGTTGCTGTTTGAATCATAAGCTTTCTGACAACACTTCTAGATGTTCAAAGTTCTACCTATAGTGCTGCTTCCCTAGCAGCAAATGCAATGAGTAAAAAATCTCACCAGTATCAGCACAGTTCATGGCACTGACAAATCGGCCTACTGGAATCTTAGCTAGGTAAGCCACTCGGTTTGCAGTGCCTGTACATGTACTTCCTGATGGTTCAAAATCTCAAAGACTGTACTATAGGCAGCAGGTATCAGCAACAACATTTAAGTTACAGTTTGGGTGGTACAGACTCTTCCTCGCCATTTGAAGACACAGTTCTAGCCCCGGGGAAAGGGAGAGAAACCCTTTTCCTGCATCACCTCACACCTTCAGGAAGAAGGGAAAAGGCAAAGGGAAAGCTCTGAAGGGTCAGCCTGCTCTCCTGCCCCTGGCTCATACACTACCACGACCTTCCTGCCCCATACTGGCCTGCAGCCCCAGGTAGTCAAATACATCTTCTGTTCTAACACAGACAAAAAGCATTGCATCTTTTGCTTCAACTTACCTTCCCCCAAATTTCAAGAAGGTTTCTGAGTGACCAATAGCAGCTGGCTCAACACACATTCCAGTGTATCAGAAAAACTGGTTTTAAGAGGGCATGGTGCTAATATGTTGTTTTGGTCTGTCATGAATGATACAGGCTCCCCATAAGTATACATGTTAGCCCAATTCTCTCATCATTTGAATATGATATGCCAAATGCACATATATTTTGTGCCATCCTTTCAGAGGGCAAGGCCTGTTTATACTTGCATAGGCTTTACACAGAATATAAAGATACTGTTTTGCTAAGACTGAATTACGGTAAAGCAGTTCCTACTCTATTTAAAAAATATGTAGAAACGCCAGTACTTCTTAAAACAGGAGTAGGTTAGAAAATAAAATTAGTCACTTTCTAATGTTATTCCATTAATTATACTAGTTGATATTGTTATTTTAAACTAGCAATATTTTCTCAAGCCTTTTGTCAAACCAATGTTTTTTTATCATCTACATAAATATATGAAGGGAGAATCAGACAAACCTGTATATGGTTATACTACAGTTTTGTTGTTAGGCTCAAATATGATTTAAGGAATATAACTTGAGTTTTCATACAAAACCCAAACAAACCCCAAACCAGAAGTTAAATTTTTCCCTGTGATTATTATTATAGCTACACAGAGTGGCACATTTATGAACTGCTGTAAATGCATATCTTTTCACTGTTTAAAGCAACATCAGAACTACATGGAGTGAGTAAAAACGCACATTTAAGTGCGAAAAACCCTTTGGCTTTAATAAAACAAATGGTTGCATTTTTGCACAAAATCCTCCAAAAATTCTATAAAAGCATAACAACAATGGACATTGCAATTAAAAAGAAACATAAAATACTGGCAATTAAGTATCTTTGTTTCTAGGATATTAGAGGTGAGATTATCAGCCACAGTTATTGGTCAAAGATATAAAGCAAAAGATAGACATTTATAAATTTTTATAACTTTATACAAGTTAGGAGTTTATACAATTCTAGTGTAATTCCTCTTCTTTTATTGGCAAAATACATCCAACCTTCCCTTCATATGCATGTAAATATAAAATGTGCTCCTGCCTACACAAGAGCAAATGTGTTCAATTTTTAATTATTTTTTGGCGTTGTTATTAGCAAATTACTAAAGAAGGGGGTGTATTCAAATTAAAATTTTAGTTTGTTACGAAGTGATAAAGAAATTTTCGTGCGCTATCCAATGACTTTTTAATTTAACAGTGAAAAACCACAAAGTTTTCAAGCTGCCAAGCAGTACAACTGTAAAGAATTTTAGAATGTATTATTGCTAACTATTAGTACACATTCCTGTGACTGAACCGATGTACGTGTTAGCAGCCTCTTCAGTTGCTGGAACAAAAGATTTTTTTTGGCAGTGTTATAAAAATTTATCTGGTTGATCCAAATTCCCATCATGATTTTCTTCAACACCAACTGTCTTGACTTAGAATTAATGATTAAAATTAATTACCGTTAGTCAGCAAGTAAAATAAAACTGGATTTCTTGTTAGCCTTTTCATAGGGTACAAGGAAAGAAGCAAAATTCAGAGTAAACTCACCTGTCACTGCCTCGTAGCATCTTGGGGTCAAAATACCGGTAGTCATCTGTTTCCTGTTAAAAAGCATGTTTTTATCTCAAAAGATGGCTTATGAAATTTTGTTTGTATCTATTACATTAAACATCATTCAAACCAATGTAATTTCCCATTTAGCAATCACATAATTCAAAATTAACTGTGGTGTCCAGTAATATTGATAGCTTTTGTACATAACTGAACCAGTACACCAACAACAGTGAAAGAGCTGTGAAGGGTGCTATTGAGCTTTCTGTTTCTGGTTCATCTAAAATTGACTATTACACACTTTCCAAAAAATACGTTGGTTGCATAATAAATACCAACAGAAAGGCAGTATGCAGAAATTAAAATTAAGGTGTTACCAGTTTCAGAGGAACATCACATGGTTAGTTATAAATGCTAACATTTTCTAGGTTACAGAGATCTGCTATTGATTTAATATTATAAAACAAAGCACTTCTATGGCAATGAATGCTAAATACAAGATAGATCAAAATCTGCTACTGTTATGTAACTTACCCTTTTCGTTTCATGATTTATGACTACTATTAAACCAAAATTAAGCTCTTGAAAAATAAATGAGTTCCACAAGAATTTGAAAAGTCTGTCTAAACCATACAAAAAAAATTTTTCTTCACACAGACCACTGAGGCACTTCCAATATTTTTACTGGCAACAAGCAAGATTTTTGCCAATTATTATGGATGGAAAACAAAACTTCCTTGTAACTCCTTCTGACAACTACTTGGCTTGCTTCTGTTTCTATACTACGTTTTCATTCAGGTACTGTGAAGTTTAGTTTGTGGATAAACTGCATGCAGGACTACAGCTGATTTCATCTGGGTGCTTACATGCAAGATCTCTGTGTTTTGATGATTCTGTAGAGCAGAAGTAATTCTTGAATAGTACACAGATTATCTGGGGAATTTATTACAGCTCACAAAGCACAACTATCTCTAATACTACAAAATATTTAGTATACATGTGGTGGTTGTATACACAGAAAATAAATCTATTTGATATTAAGGACTTTAATGTAATTACATTAAATAAGTCTCTTATCCTCAAGTTTGGCTTTTTAAAAAAATTAATTTAGATCTCATTCCACACTGAATCTCTGTAAAATGCTTTTATATGCTCCACTGGGAATTTCAACTGCATTTGTTGCATTTCTAAAGTCTGCAGCACTCGTGATTTTGGCAGCCTCGTACATAAAGATAGTATAGCAACTTTGAAGTAATGAGAGAGCTGGGAATGGACAGATTCTGCTAGTCTAAAACTGAGAGGTATTTCAGAAACCTCTAAGTTGGATAAAGAGCTGCAGCTTCCCTGCTTGTTAGAATGAATTACAGATTAATGCCAGAACTACAATCATAGTTTAAAAAAAACAGCATTACAGACATTTCCTCCTGAATGTATTACTGCTGTGTTTTTTCACTGTGGGCTTGTGTAGGTAGACATATGAAAAGTGGTCAAGTAATAGAAACGTGACAAGCTAGTTTATTTTTGTTGTTGTTTAAATACACCATTCCTGCTGAAGTCAGTTCTGAGGGTGCAGGGAAAGAAACCCTACTAGATTGTATTTGCTTTAAGAAATAGTTAGTCTGCCAATAAAAACAACTGTATAGCAGTTTCCTTGCACACAACTGAATTTGTGACTTCCCTAAGCAATTCAAGAATAAAATTAATACTTTAAAATTTTAAACCTAATTTTCGAGATTTCAATTTAAACTGGAAAAGACCCATGGAAATACCTTTGACTTTCAGTCTGCATCTGTTTTTCTGCAGAAGCTAACATGATTAGTTTGGATTAAGGAAATATCCTCCCTTTTTAGAATTTTTCATTGTGATGCATGAAAGGTAATCATACAGTATAGCCTAAGCTCGAAAGATATCACGTTCACTGAAAGAGATGATATTAACCAAAATACAGTTCCATTCATATATGTCACAAGTAAGATTTATCTACCTCTTCAGTCACTACAAATGTACATACTGTATTATTGACAGAGGCTAAACCCCTTTGGGACTTTGTCATAAAAATATTAAGGGTGTTCTTATCAAAGATTGTCCTTACTAAAGAATCAAACCATTTTGTGGAAGATACTTAAAAGAGCCCCCATAATTCTATAGCAAGTGGTGGTTGATTTCCTATCTACGGGTTAAAATTTGTGTATACCTGACAATGATTTTTTTGTGTTAGTAATATTTGTGACTTTAATTAATCTCTATTTAGTGATACCAAAATAAAGCAACTATGTTATTTATGAACATTTCTTTATGAAAACACAATCCCAGAAGCAATTGCTTAAAAACCTGTTTTGACTGATAAATGTTACTATTAAAAACAACAAAAAAACCCCAAACACACCCCACAAAAAAACCAAACCAAACCAAACCAAAACAACCTCCCAAAACAAACAAAAACCCACAAGTAATGGATTACTTCAAGGTCTTCAATGAATGTTTCTGAATGAGTATTTCAAGAAAAAGTGTAACTATAGGTTAAACAATCTAGGCAAATTTTTTAAATTACAGGATGGTATTATTGCCCATAACAACTGTTCTACCTGTTCCTGCTTCTGAAAAAACTTGGAAGCACAGGTGTAGACTCATTTGTCCTTCCTGGTAGCTGTCCTTGTGAGACAAAAGCAGCAGCAGGGACAAGTAACACACAAAGTGATTTACAGACAACCCTACAGAGTTTTGCACAGCATTATCATCCTGAATAGGTTTAAAATTTTAACTGACAATCATATTTGCAAATGTTGGTGGTACAAGTTGTACATTTCATATACTTAGAAAATAATTTAAATGATTTACATTCATTTTAATAACTGACTTCTCAATAACCTGTTATAATTTTGCATTACAACTTGTATCTGTATGTACCCTTCACACAATGATCATTGTGGTTAGTAAGATTGAATGAACTACAAAGGAGTTTTCTGTGTTGTAAAAAAATAAAATAAAATCTTAAGCTTTTTTTCCTCTCCCTTTGCACATTGTCTGCAGTGCAAGAGTCTTCTATTCTGGGGGACAGAAAAGGACCTCAAACATCAGAATTTAAACAGAGGCCACAGTGGTGTATTTCTACACATTGACCTTTTCCAGACACAATTTCACGTCTGCTGATGGTACAGCAAGTCTGAACCTATTCCACAGTAACTCCCTGGCTTGCTTCTGTTAGCTGAAACTTACTCAAAAAGTTGCTGTCAATTTTCCTGCAGGTTAGGAGAATCATTCCTTGGGGCTTGCCTGGTCTCCTATGACTTGAAAAGTAGGACTCCCTGGTTTGGGCCATGAATTCAAGTCTCTGACATGGCAGTGAAACATGAAGCTGCTGACAGACTGGCTCAATCTCTCCTTTTTCAAGTGAGAAGATCAATGTTTTCTCCAAATTATCAAAGTGATCATGGCTGTTTTCTACTAAGTGAAATGTGACAATATCTAGTCAGCAAAAAAAAAGCCGTGTGACTTGTAAACTTTTCCAAATCAATTCCTAAAGTTGTAGCCCAAGGATGCTAGTGTATATTTAACAAAAAAAAATTGTTTCATTTTTCACCTACTTGTAAGTTATCTGTAGTTTTTAATTTCAGCTTTCTGTATTAACTGTTCTGAGTGACCTCTACTGGTTGATTAGATAAAATGAGCCCTGTACATCTTTTCTAAGTTTTGCAAATAGGGACAACAGTCCACTGCCACTGAAAACAGTACCAGCTTCTATGTCCCTTAAGAGAAAGCAAATTTTCTGCTAACAGTCATGATATATATTGTCTGTGAAGTACAGCTTAAGAACAGGCAGGATTACTTACATGTTGATAATTTTAATATTTTACCATTATTAGTTTCCCTTTGCGTATAGTTAATACCTGAAGGTGAAAGTGGACTAAAAATGTTTTAAATCTAGTAACCAGTTTGAGATATTGCAATTGTGTGTGTCTGTCTGATGCTGATGCCACTGAAAAAGGAAGACTGATATGATGTAGCAAACATACTAAAGCTTTCTAAATGACTCTGAACGGGTGATTTTGCCAGAACAAGATTGTGCACAGGATGGTCCTATGTAAGAGTTCTGAAGGAATGAAATACACAGCAAGAAAAAAAGACTGCTTTGACTATACACTAAGTATGGAAAGACTTATGGCTGTTTTTAGCTGTAAGTTCTAACAAATGTCTTGACTATCTAGCTAACATTTAAGTGTTTCAAAAATTTGTAACTTATGGAAGTCTGAGTAAATTTTCACAGAAACAAGGGGGAAAGAGGACTTTTCTGACACAAAACCAACTCTCCTTGCAAACTGAAGACTCCTTGAGCACTAAAATATTTTCCTTTAAATAGCAAAGCTTTAAAGATGAGGGAAACAATTTTTTCTCCAACATACCTCTCTAACTATTTTACTTCTGAAATTGTGCTCCTAAAAAAAAAAATAATCACCTTGATGCAAAGAAAATTTCAGCCCACAGTTTAACTTTTAGAAATCTAGGAGCAATAGAAACTCCATAAAGCACAAGTGTGATGAAGCTCAGAACAGACAAAAAACCCCCAAAACATGAGTTCCAATGAGACACAATAAATTGTTACTGTTTAGAAACTATTTTTATGCAAAAAATCTTATTAACTAGTTATGAAAGTGGTTCTATTATTGAGATACAGCATGATTAGATTTAATTGCATTATCATGAAAAAAAGTATCTATGGCACATTACGTATCACAGCCTCAAGATTTCATTTGTTCCACCTCTTTCCATGTTGTACTCACAGGGTTTGACTTCATCTCCATCAGATTGTCCAATATACGTGTGACTGGTAGATTCTGTAAAACATAATGTGAAATTAATGGCATGCTAAAATTCTTACTAAGAATTATCCACAGACACACTATTATTTATGAAACAGTTTAAGAGCATTTGAAACACTACTTTAAACAGTTTTCCTCTGGTATTTTGTAAAGTTTGAGCATTTTTATCATCACCTATATTACCTTTCTGTACATAAAATGCAAGCATCTGAGGAGCACACAGCTAAGGGAAAAACAGAAAGCGCAAAAAAAGTGTGAAGATAGGAATAGAGTTGTATTTAGGTATTATCAATATATGCAAGTAGGTAAAGGTATATCAAATCTTATTTTTAAAATACTTTGCACTTTAAAAAAATAATTTTAAAGCTGAAGATGAGAGTTAAGGGTATGATTCTAAAAAAGAACTAACGTTGTCAAAAAAATGGGTAAAAAAAGCATCCAAACAAATGTTTGGATGAACTGGAAAGGAATAAACTGAGGCGAGAGTCAAGATGACTACTCCTTATTTATGATGGGAAATGGTAGCTTGTACAAAAGATCTAAAGTATTAGTGAAACCACTTTTGTTATAATAAACTGAGGGAGAGTTTACATAGCAACGGAATTGGAAATGTGTCTTGTTGACAGAATGTATCAAAAAAGGACATTCCAAAGGATGATCTACAAATAACACTGAAAAATGCTTAGTAAAAAACCAGTGTGAATCCCTGAACGACCAAACAAGAAATAAAAAGTTAACTTTAATAGAAATACCACAGACCTACATCAGGCTTGAAAATATGAGGAAGAACAGCATTTTACTTGGCTGCCCCAAAACACCTGGAGAAGGAATTAAAAGCCAGAAAAAAAATATCCTGAAAACATCAGTATTGTGGCTTTTTACTCAGAACCCAAAACAAAGCAAGGCATTTTGTCAAGAATAATACTAACTTTTAAAGCCACACATGTTAAAAGAAGTGACAAAATGTTTACTACAAGAAGAACAGGAACTCTCACTTAGAATATATTTATTATCTATTGTTACAAGTAACAGTTTATCTGAAGATTTCTCTAAAAGATAACCTATAGGCAAGATGCAAATTTAAGTTTACTCTATTTCATGACATACCAGTGATTTGTAACTGTACAATGCAACTTACTGTATCTAGGCATAGTGAAATCCCCACAGAACTAATTTCACTGACTACCCTACAAATGCCACAATTTTTTAAAACTTTTATGATAGCTGACACTTTTCATGCATAAACTATGTGTATGACAGGATAACTAAACAAACGACAGCTATGATAAGATTAACTATGTCAAAAAGGTGATAATTTAATTAGAGGTAAGATATCATTTTATTTAGTTTTGATATGCTGTATTTATAAATTAAATTATGATTCTTTCACTAAGAATTATATGATGAGCGATCTTTTTCTTAGAAATCCTGATGTCAAAACAGTACAGAACATTTAACTATAATTATTTCTTTATTGCCATATGACAAAACTGCATATTGGAAAAAATACTGTTTCCTTAACAGGGCAGCAGATTTCTAGGAACCACAATTCAAAATTTCAGCTGTGAGTTATACAACTAGTGTCTTTTTTTCGTCATTTGTTTTCTTTTGGGGGGTGTACACTGAAATTTGCATGCAAGTTATTCTCAGGAATATTTTCTAAAGTTAAGTGAATATGTGAAGGTGGCCATGTCATTACAAATACACTTTGATTTTCAAGTACATTTCAAGACTATGGTTGCTGTACATTACTTATGTGGGAAAACCAGAAATGTCTGAATTGTAACTGAACAGAGAACGAACACTTTCAGCCTTTCAATCACTCTGGAATAGATGCATTTAATACATGCTGTTCTAGGTAAAGACATAGACAGGCTTTTTTGTTTATGAAGGTCTAGTCTATTTTGGGTACTCCACAGCTGATCTTTTTATAATGATGAAATAAGTCTTAATTGTACATACTGGAATCTAATTCCTCACAAATGGAAGTATTCAAAGAAAATTTGAGCATTATTATTCATAACTTGTCTAAAAACTGGAAGTTGCAAAGGGAGAGATCTAACCACCAGAAGAGGATGATGTTTTTTTTACTGTACAACTATTTTTATTAATATGACAGAGATATTGAAAGTTGTTTTTCTAAATGTTCACAATGCTCATGTGATAGAGGTTTTTTATTTTTTAATTGATTTTCAAACTTACTTGTTGCTTCAGTACCAAGTTCTTCACTCCTTCCATTACAAACTGTGATCCTGTATTCATAACACGTGAAAACAGACTGAAAAACAAAATAAAGATGATGTGTAAGTCTTTATTTTTTTTAATTTGCATTCTTAAGCTTTACGCTGACATCCAAATCCCATTAACACTGATGGGACTTAAGTACCTAGTCAATGAATTTGTCATGAAATATATTCTTCAAACCACATGACAAACAAGTGCATGGGAATACACCTATAATCTAGCAGTTAGACCCTCACCTATCAATAGGAGTCTTGAGTTCTAGTCTTTAATCCACTGAACAGTTTATTTTACTATTTCAGGAATGCAAGGATCTGAGTGCTCCTTTCAAGTGGGTGGGTATCCCAATCACCAGAGTTAACAGAGATGCTCAGTCTCCAACCAACCACACTAATTTTTCTAAGTGAGGCAGGACCGAAATTCTCTCTAACCATATTGAGCCACAGTTTCCTCATGACAGTGCCAGTGTACTACTGCAAGTGAAGTTGGCAATGAGGATTCAAGTCCTCTCAAGCATGGAAAGACCCAAGTTTCATACCCTGTATGGGATATATGTACCCTTAGCATAGTCATTCTCTTTTCTTTTCCTGTCTTGAAATAACTAACTGTACCTTTCAAGTGGACAGACATCCAGGCCAGGACATCCTAATGAAAAAGCAGTGTGTTCTTGCATCCCTGTTCTTGCAGCCCTGGAGAGAATCAGTTTTGAATACACAGGGCTGTTCTTATCTTCTGCCATTTGACTAAATAAGGCTTAAAATGATGGTTGTCGTGGATCCATGTCCTGGTACCAAATTCTTCCATTGTGAGAGTGCATTTAATATGCAGGTGCAGACATCACTGTATTACGTTACTTTGTGGATTTAGTCACAGATCCTTTTATTTTCCTGTGTGTAAATCCTATGTACTGTTAAGGGGAGATGAGTGGTTGTAACTGTCTATAACTTAAAACTTCTTACAAATAGGGAAATGTTTTATTCTGGGCCTTGTATAGCACTAATTAATCACACTTTCAGTACTACTAAACTAAGCTAAAAGAATCCAAAGGCTTGCAGAAAATTAATCAAGAGCATACCCCAAAGGTTTAGGCGTAGTGTTTCCATAGCTGGTTGGAGCTGAAGCCATCTTAGTGAAAGCCCTGTGAAAGCAGGGATAGAAATCAAATGCTTATCTCATGGCACATACTGCTGTAGAATGTTCCACTCTGGTCATCTGAAAGCGAAAAAACTTCTGCTTCTCAGACTCTTTCAGGAAGTAACTATTTATTACATGCATCTCTTTTGTCTAGAAATAAAACAGCTAAGGAACTGAAAGGAATTAGATTTTATACTTGAAAGACAAAGACTTTATTCTGATACCATGTTAAACTAGAATACCTGATAGGCACCATGACCCTTTGGTATGAACAAAAAAATTTGGAGTCTGAACTATCACAACTTTTCGTTTAATTCAGTAAGCTGTTTCTGTCTTGGATCATGAAATACACTACTGTGTGTCATGCTCAATAGTGTTCTGGCATTACTGGAGTTTAGATTTAAAATAAGATTTGCGTGTATTACCATAACAACGACAGTGAAAAATTATGCCAGAACAAATGCTTAAGGAAAGAAGTAACACGTAATTCTTTGATAACAATGCTGCCGAGTTCTGTAAAATTACCCAGCTATAGCCTCACATAGGAGAAAAAAGAAATTACTTACTTCCATTGTTTTATGTAGCTCAAAGGAGCAAGATTACAACCTGCATCCATCAATGCTTTTTTATACTGCTCCAAATCAATCTGAAATTATGAAGTGGAGAGTTGCAAAAGGTTGAAATTGCTCTTAACTCTCTTTATGTGGAAAGACAAGATACCATTATCTAAATATTAAATTAGCAGTGTAAAGTTATGGCATTAATCAAAGTTAAAAACTGCGAGTCTTAATCCCATCTCTTAGCAAGTATGAAAATATAACTTAAAGTGCAATTTTCTATGAGCAGCTCTCATTAAACTTAACAGTATTTGTGGAATTAAATCCTGTGCATTTTCAGATATTCGTAACAGTCTTTTATACCAGCATCTTTAAAAAAACCTGACAGAATACTGTTTATTGTAAAATGTTACAATAGCAAATAATAAAAATGAAGAGGAATTAATATACATTTCTAATAACACTTTCTCTTTGCCTAACCTAACATATTTTTTCTACCACATAATATTTCTACAGTGTAATGAAAATACTCCTTGAAATGAATCATAATAAGTTCAAAAGAAATATTAAGAAATTGTTTTCGGAATTATTCAGATATTGGCACAAGAGGTATTTCTCCTTTTTTCATCTGCTAGTCAACAGACTCTTGAATATACATGGACAGAGTGAAAAAAGTCAGATTAACATTTTGGTTTATCTACTTCTATTGAACAGTGGAGCACAATAACAGAAAGCATGCTAAGATGTGTCTTGCAGTAACTCTGAACTAAATATTTCAAAAGATAATCCTCCTTACTAGTCATTCATATCCTTTGAAATGGTGGCTAAAGCTTTGTGAGCAGATTCTCTGATAATACTACCAAATTTATTTAAAGTTTTAACATTTCCTTGGCATTTCATACTTTGCTTCAAAGAAAAGCAGAAACACCTTTGTGCTGAAACAACACAGAAGAATCCTGTGTGGTAGGATTTGGTGCTGGAAGCTGTAAAGAACGTACATACCTCTGAAGGTGCCTGAGCTGAGCTTATGTAATAGATAAGAAATAACCGCATTTTGTCTTCTGGAGTTCCTGCTGCAGTGAAAAAAAAACAAAACAAAACAAAACAAAACCAACAACTACAATTGTAACTATGCTGCTATGTTAATTGCTCTTCACTAATAATATACACGTACATCCAGACCTTTAGTTATGACAATAACTGCTATCTATAACCATGGCCTCGTTCAGTGTATAAAATGGTAGACAGACATTTAGCAATTTTATTAAAAGCTGGGTCAGACTAGCTCACTGTTTCTGGAAGTTTACTTACACTTACCCCTTTTGCTTATAGCAAATATTTTTCAAATAACATACTAAGTTACACAGTGTCATTATGTCTTATTTTATGCAGGGATTGCATGCATTAGCAGGGAGTGAATCCATGAAAGGGAAGACTAAAGAAAAATCATAGAAGTAAAAGCCACAGCGTATTATTTTTAGCTCTACAATTTGTTTATGGAGCTCTACAGTTGACTGTACTGAAACACTTGAGGGCTGCAAAATCACTTATGCAAACTTCTGGTCAGCAAAAAAATCCTGGACTTCCAAAATGCCTTCAGGAAGGATCCCACCTCCTGAATCATCTTTTGTCACACCACTTGTTGGAGAAAAACACTGCTACAAATTACTGGGAATCATTATCAAAAGCAATCCAAATTAATCTTTGCCAGATCAAAACAATGATGTTTTGGTCCTGTGTTACTTAGGCTATAACCTACTACAGCAGATTCTGAACACCATCTACTTTTTTCTACAAGAGAACCACTATTAGTAAAGAGCACAGTTTCAAATGAAGATTTCAGAAGTATAACTTCTCAAACATTTCAAATTTGTAATCTAATACTTCATTGAAAAATCTTGATACCTTTATATATAATACAATATTTTAGCAAAATGCACTTTCTTGTACTTCTGTGAAAAATAATTTTTCCTGCTTTTTTTTTTTTTTCCTTTTTTCCCCCTACTATGGAATGTGGGTCATGTCAGCAGGGGATCATCTAATCTAATCTGCAACTTTTGTTTATATGTGAGCATATATTTAGTTTGGCAGAAGTTAAGAGTAAGCACTGTCATAATGAACATTTATGACTTGGTAAAATTTTTCTGGGAAATAAGTTTTATTAATGTTTACCAAATGCCAGGAATCCAGAAGATCAAGAACTGAAGAGACTTTGTATTATCTAAATCAAGTCAGCTTTCAAGCTAGACATCCACTTGGAGTTCACTTGGGTAAAAAAAGCACTGAAACATTCTAAATATACAGTGTAACTGAGTTTGGTTTCCTTAAGTGACTCAGAGAGGGTTTCAGCTTGCCAGTTTACAGCTTGTTTCAGTACTTCGCCGATCGCTAAGTTTCAGTTTAACTGGGGCACTGGATAGCATTTTCTTTGCTGTGCCTATTGATCATGTTTACAAAACTCCTAGAAGGTTTGTGCTCACGGAAGTGTAAGTGGTCTCACTTACACATGAGCGTAACTGATATTTTGTCTTACTAAAAGATAATAAATGTAAAGAAAACTGTTATTGTATTGTGTACACTTTACTAAATCTTAGGAAAACTACTTGTGTTTGGCAAAAGTACTTTACTCTTGATATACTACTGATGTAAATCACAGCTGTGATAAACAGCTATAAGACCCATGTCAGCTGTCTGTAAAATGTTCCCTATTTTTTTCTAGGCTATGGCCTGTGACAACATACAGAGGGGGGAGTGTCAAATGTTCGGAAGAAAATTTAACTTGATAAACCTAGAACAGAACAATTTTATTTTCCACTCAAAAACCAGCAGGCAGCCTTTAGGGCTACTGATTAACTACCAGAGCAAAGCAAAACCAGTAACTCCTATTTTATCACTACTCCAGGATATAATAATATCCACTGAACTGGGAGGCAGCTAATAGCCTTGAGTGGGAGATTAGCACAACATAATAAGAAATGGGAGCCTGAAGCTGTCAAGTGGTAAACTCTAAGTGCTCCTGTGAAGAGCTCTGCAGATACTGTTGTCCATAGGGCAAGTATCCCCACAGATAATGCAAAGAAGTAGTTCACCACTGAAAGCATTGGAAGAATTGACACATTGTTCCTTCAAAATATTTTCTACCGTTATTTCTCAGTGAAACATACAATAGAAAGCTGGCCAGTTTTACAAGATAGCATGCCTGGAAATAATCGCTGTGAACTAACATAAATCCTTTTTTTATATAAACTTACCTTAAACCTAGACAACATATAGGAAACGCTAACATGCCACTGTGAACACCTGAATACTTAGCTTATGAAGGAAAAATCTAGCTTGGAAATCTAATCTTTCTCTTACATAAAACCTAGGAACTTTACTAATAGGAATGTTGATATGATACATCAGGCTTGGAAAACAATATGCTTATACTGCAATCCAAAACTGCATAGAAAATATGGTTTCAGGTAAAAAGTAATCGATCCAGTAGGAAATACTAGCAAGCATAATAATTTCTGTTTTCATATATAAGTTCATGCAAACATATAAGCTGAAAAAAAATAGTACATGAACAGTTAATTCTGCACATGGAAAAAGTACAATTCTTTTTAGCTTCATTTTAACAATGAATGTATGTATTGAATTACAGATTGATGCCTGACATGAGATTTTCTGAAAATCTTAGTTTCTAAACTTGATCCAACATGAGATCTGTAAAATCCTATCTCAGACTTCTCCCAGCTGTGTACTATTTCTTCCACTGCCTTTTGATTCTATAACACAGACACTAATAAATTTTTTTTAAAAAGTCAGCAGGATTTATATATACTCTTTCTATAAATATGAATGATTATACAAACTCCAAGCAGACATTATGTCCAGTATGTAGCTACAAGACTACACACTTAAGCATGCAGTAACAAAACATTTTCTTAAAGAGCATACTGGGAAAAGAGCAGGAACCCCGTGTCTCTAAATGCTCGAGGTTTGCCAGTGTATTTGCCAATATGCAGACAGGCCAGTGGTCATAACTTAAGTTTTACAATCTTGCTCTGCAGGGTATTTTGTTCCAGCCAACTTGTATCAGATCGTACCGAAATACATCAGAGGGTTGGGACATACCTCAGGTTGTGAGAGGCTGAAATGAGAGTTGATGCTATGATAAGCTGAGAACAAGTCTTGCACAGGTTGCACATAAGATCTTTACCAACCCTGAAGTCGCAGAAGGTACAAATTTATTATCTATCTTAACAAATGTTATAACAAGTTCAGATTTAAAGTACTCACCATCTGGGTCAGAAATCATGTCCAGAAGAGATTTATCCAGAGTGGATTTGCTCATTATTTTTTCCTCATATTCAAAATACACATCCAGCTTCCGACTCTGTTTAAGAGTAAGTGTTAGGGTTAACATCTTAACACTGTGAAAGAATATTTATTTCCTCTTTGAAAAGGTATATAGTTTTTGTTATCAAGACTGTTTTTAAAATTTTATTTTAAAATAAATTATCTGTAAAAATAATTAATGATTGCATTATTCTTCAGAAAACTGACGCTTATGTAATTCTCATATTAAAAGTGAAAATCAAGTTAGGCAAGGGATGTCTGACATGCAAATATTAAACCGGAAGAGGAGCTTTGTTTTCAACTATGGTTTTGCCATAGCTGAAAACTACATGCCATTATAGGTAGTGTTATGCTTTAATAGATAAAAATAATGGTCAAGTGAATAATATGTCCAATTTATGCTGAAACTCAAGTCTCTTGGTCAACAAGGAAACTAGTCAATGCAGATAAACGTAAGAAATTCCTAAATACATTAAGGCATCATCCCAGAGAAAAGCTGGCAACTGCCAACTTGGGTTGGTACTAACTACCTCAGATCAAAGGCTTGCAATAATTCATTTACACTAAAGATGGAGGACTTCATAATCAGGTTATCTTGCTAACACTGGAAAAGAAGTCTCTCATTATACAATGACACATGTAGATCAAGTTGTGAAACTCCTTTTTTAGGGAAGATGGCACAGGGACTGCACAAAATCAGTGAGGCTAAAGTTTTATGGAAGACATGACATAGCCATGAAACTAATGACTGTATTGCAATACATCTGCATAAACAGCCAGGCTTTGCACTTCTTAACCATCATATCACAAACTTACAACCTAAAGATAGAGAAATACATTCAAAAATTTATTTTAAAAGCTTCTGTTATGTAACAGATTGTTATGAGCATTTGAACATGAAAATGTAGCATCACAACAGATGTTACAACTACTTAGTTTACAAAACCTTAGTATCAGGTAACTAACTAAAGCCTGGTGTTTGGACAAATTCAGCTATTTATGGGCTCAAATAGGAGATAGTTAGAGGGGTTGTCCACCTTGTTGCCTTGGAAGTGATTCAGCTCCATCCTGTTGGAAGACTGAAATGATAGTGCCAGAGTGAGGCAAGAGTCGCCAGGGCTTTTCTTGGGTGAAGAGATTCTGGAAATTTTGCCTGGTAATGCCAAGGCATGCAAAACTGCTATGGTACTTTTTAACCCAGTGCAGTGGTTGTGGTAATGACAGCAACATAAACACTTTAGAAGTCTGGTTTTCACATGTTTTTGATTTCTACTAAAAATATTCTTGAGATCACAAATAAGGAAATGGATTTTTAAAAACACAGTTATTTCACCACCCCACCAAAAAAGGGAAAAATAGAAGGAGGAGTTATAAAAAAAAGGTACTTCTCTAGCCTAAAGATATTAGGATATTTCACCTTCTGAGTATTTTAAGTTCATCAAAAAGGAGTTAGAGAATATAAAATAAAGGAAGAGGTAAATCACCAGAATATTTTTATATTGAAAGTCTTTGGCAACCAGTTGATGATGCAGATAACTACATTACATTTCTATTTCTCATTCAGCATCTACTGAACTCATCGAAAAGAGCAGTTACTTGCAGAACAGTAACTGAAAGCCTTTGTGGACACTTGTAATTACAGCCTATAAAATGCCATGAGGAATGCTCAAAAAATGACCACTCCCACTTTTAGGGGCAGAAGGAGGTCTTCTGTTGTTTGTCATAGTGACTATGACTACATATAAGGTATATGAAGTGACCAAAAAAACCCCAAGGAGAGCTAGAGCTTCTTTCAAGCTGTATCTACCGTGAGCTCATGTTAGAAAAGTAGTCGCAGCCAAATTTTGGTAGTTACACTACTGTAAACCTTTGATTAATCCTGTATTTAGTCCAAGTTAAAGTGATTATTGGTGGTTACATTGTTACAATAGTGTAAAGTCCAAATACAACTGAACTATCAGCCTTTTTCAAGACCTTACTTCAGATGCATTTTCGTATCTGGCACCAAATACCCAGTATCAGACATGTTCTGTAACTTCAATTCTACAGCATCTTGGAGACTATCTGCGCTACAGTTTCCTTAACTCTCTCTAGAGAGATAAAACAACTGCAAAGGAACTATCACAATTTTTCTACTATTTTCATTACATTCAATGACTTTTTGTGTTTTAACTACATTTGTATTTTCTTACATGGGGCTAAATTCAACATCTTTTAAGTTTAAAATATTTTTCCCAGACAAAAAGTATGCAACAAACAAAGCATTGTCTTGAAATGCGGAAATTTAGTCTTATTAAGGTAAATATATTGTTGTTGAATTTGGCAATGCCCGTATTATCTTAGCTGGTGGTCTGTTTAAGACAAATTTATTCAGGTGGTATGTAAAAATGTACAACATAAAACCAAGATTCACTAATTCACTGTATTTGTTTACAAATCAACTTTTAAATAAAATTATATAATTCAAACATGAGATACTTCCAACTGCTAAGAACAGATTTACAGCTGTTAACTTACTTGGAGCATAAACTAGGTAAAATTCTTCTCAACCATGTGAACTTTATGACTGACTCAGACTGCCAAACAAAACAGACTAACCACAGCACAGAAAACTCACTGGTTGCATATATTTACTATACTTTGAGCCTAACTGAAACACTAATGGTCCATGTACACTCACTCTCTTCAAAGATTTTGCATAATTACTTTTGAAGTGTGAACTTAGCACTCTCTGGGGAAAAAAAAACCCACAAACTGAAAATCCTAAAGCTTCAAGTTCTTCATTTCTATCCACAATAGGGACATCAGAGTTAAGCAGCAATATAAAATTTTCAAGATTCTTTCTGATGTGACAAAAGCACAAACTAAACAGATGGATCAATATGGTGAGTCTATTCAGATGCTTTTTCACTAGATAACTAATGAAGGTTACTAGCAAAGATGCTAATTAGGGCAATATTTTTCTTACACTGGTTTGCTAGGAATCAGATGGACACCTAATCAAATTTCATACAGGTTACTGAATAGCCTTAAACACTACTAGTTACCTTTTGACAGATTTCCCAGATATGCCACATCAATGAGACAGTTACTTCCTGAAGAGCCAACTTGTCTAAGAAGCGCTGATAAGAAGCAGATGTCCCATTTAATTTATGTGCAATTTTGCTTGCTCAATGACAAATGCACAGACATGCCAAAAGGAAAGGTGGGGAATAGGAACTAAAAAATCCTGTAGATTCAATAAAAAAAGGCAGCAAAGAAGAGGTTCTTATGGCTGCCAAACTGGCAAGCAAGGTGAAGAAAAATAATAATAAAAACCAATAATAAAATCAAGACGCATTTACATTTACAGTTATTCCCTTTCTACCTCCTGCTCTTGATTTCCTACTATGACATCTTGTTCCACACAAACCTCACTCAGGAGACCTTTTTGGCTGCCAATTCACAGATAGGATCTGTATTGCAGTTAAAGTGATACACTTCAGCTTGCTTTGTCTTTTTTATTTTTTTAATACATTTGTAAAATCTTTCAACTTAGCACCTTTAGAAACAGGCTGTTTGTAAGCCAAAACTTATTTCAGGGAAGATTACTGAAGCACATGGGAATGTCTACCTGAGCACTACTCCAAAATGAAAACAAAATTCCTTCTCTTTTTAAGCAAGGAAGTGGAAGCAGGACCCACTGAAATCTCTTAGAGGGTCATTCTGGTAAGGACTTGTAGGAGGCTCTCCTACCCTCTTTACAGTACAAAGGTTCTTCCATTTAGAGAGAGACAGAACACTGAAGAGAAGAAATTTTCTAAGAAATTAATGGGAAGAGTTTCTCGAAGATACTGGCAGAAAACAACCAGAAGTAACAGCCCCCAGAATGAGTGAGGTTGGGCAGGTAATTATAGTGTGCTCCTATCAAGAGGAAGAGAAACTCTGAGAAGGCTGAAAGTGGCAGTTCTCTTCGGCTGAACTGCACAGAATAATGCCAGAAAGGTCACTGTATCCAAACTCAGAAAAAGCTGTTTTTTACTGGAAAGTTACTCAATTATCAGTTCTGAACTACAGAAAAACAGCCTGGACCACTGTGACATATATATTTCACAAACACACACTATTTCTGTTCGCATGATAAGACAAAAATGTAACCTCATTTAAAACAGAATAGTTAAAATAGTGGAATTCCTCTATAAAAATACGAATTCGATAATTTGAAAGGCTATTTGCAATCGCAATAATGGAGTCATTCAAAGTACCAATTCCTGAGATCAAGCAAAACTGGAGATACATGACAGAAAACTGTGTAGGAATAAAAAAAAAAACCTTAAACCAAACAAGTAATCTAAGACACATAATTCACATAAAAATCTGCCACTTAAATTCACATGTACAGAATTCTAGCAAGATGTTATCTAATCTGCCTGTTTCAATTAATCATTTTAGAAAAGTGTATACGTACACCTTTCTGTATGCCATGATTTAACATACTCCAGTAATCCTAGCATTCATGTTAGAAGAACATGTAAAGATAAACATTACTTGAAACTCTAAAGCAGCTAGAAAGATACCCATAATTCTAGTCCTAAATCTGTTATCTGTTGGATGCAGTCCTTCAGTCACCAGCTTCTTCAGAGAAAAAACAATCAACGCAAAACAAGGATGCATTTGTTCTAAGCACTGACATTAAATACTTGATGGCTCACTTAGTGAAAAGAGTGATGCATTCTTCCCATCATTTCACTAAACACTTAGATATGCCAGAAAACTGCCAGAAGCCCTAAGTATGTGATTAATTTCTGGTTTCCTCTTGCTGTGTCTCAGAAAATGATCCAAGAGAATGTGGAAAGCAGCTGTAAACTGAACACTAAAATACGACCACAAGAAAAATTAAAATCACTTAGTATATCTAAAGCAGGTCTCGAAGCATTCTTTGATACATGCAGTGAAGAAAAATGCTCCAATACTTAATGTAGTAAAAATCATAATGGACAATGCAAACAGTCTATTTCAAAGTATGAATGTGCTTCCAGATTATTTTAAAGTGAAAATATAGTAACCTAAGAAGAGCATGGTGGCTCACTAGTTCCTCATGACGTGGGTACTTCCCCGAAAAATTCTCTCTTATCCTAATCTGGTTTAATTATTTAACTGTATACAAAACCTATTAACCATAGCCTCAAGGTGCCATCAGAATTTCTTTTAAAAGTACTGGCTGAGATACTGACTTTTTTGAGAGTATTTTTCAGGAATCCATTAGGTAGCATATCATCCCACACAAAATTCCACAGCTTGAGATACAAAGATACTTTTTGTAACACAGGAGAGTGAAGAGGGGAGAAAATGGACAGGACAAAGCAGTCAGAATAAACTTTACATTCATTAAGTGAAAAGACTTTAGTGTAGGTATATTCCAACAGAAAAAAACATGTGCATCTGCATTAGTTTGAGCCTAAGATAGTTTCCTAAATATCCAGAGATGAAGCAAGTGATTCTTTCTAAATCAAAAGAATCATCAATATATTGAAGAAACTGCATGCCTATTTGTCTCACAATCTTCTTTGACAGCTCTGCAGTAAGAAGGTAAAGAGCCTGAGCACTTCACAATACCGGCATTAAGAATCATTTATAGAGAAATGGATCTTCACTCCCTGGGAACTCTCTAATAGCAGGCTCTCTGTCAGAGGAAAGAGCCTAAGGGCTAGTGGAGTGCTGCAGCAGAGGGACCCTAAGGTAATTCCTTCCATCTCTAGGCAACAGAAAATTATGTAACTATCACCTAGTGGAGCATGAACAAGTGCACCTGACTCCAGTCCACTGCCAACAGGACATGGGCGATCAAAACTGAGGCTGTTACCATATCACATCTTGCTCTGAAACCTGGCTTCCGTCCAACAAGTAATACAGAAAACACTACCGGGGTAAGGCCTGCCATTACCATCTCAGTATCTTTCTAAGAAAAGTGAATTTACAGACAAGACATCAAATAAAATACTGACATGGTCAACTTTTTTTTTTTTTGAATGGTATGAATGTACTGCTTTTAAATTGCCATACATAAAAATTGACAAGCCTAAGGCTGCAAAAGTCCCTACAGTAATGAGCCAAACACAGAGACACACTTATATCTCTTCCCCAATTTTATAAAAATGTAAACTTAATTCATTAAAATTCAGAAATAATCCTTTGCTCATTTATAGCACTTACTTTAAAAAAAATCAGTATCAGTAATAACTGAGGACAGATTTTACGTACTTTACAAATGTTAAAGTTAGCTTCAAAACACACTGCCTTCAATGAGTTATAAATAGCAAAGAGTAAAATTTTCTAACTACTGATTGTCAGTAAGACTTGGTACTTGAATTACTTTCAAAAACAGAATTTCAGTTATTTCTGAAAGCCTCATCCACAATTTCTGTTCTCATACGGTGAAAACAGATCTATCTTCCAAGTTATCCTAGTAGTAACCATGGTCTTTACTTGATACTGAAACCATCTGCAAGCTCTCTGATACAAGAGCAGCAGACTTAAACAGAAAAGGGGACAAGCATCCTTCTGAAGTGCTTAAATTACGCACAAGATATCTAACACAGACCCTGCTGGGAAGACCAGTTTTGTAATTTGCATCATTATTGCCACACTGCTGGGTATCATTTTCATTTGTGAACAGTAAACAGTACCCTTCTGAAAAACACATACCAAACAGCAAATTGCTTAGACTGAAGTCATAACTTGCCATGACACATCTCTAAAGTAAATGAAACATTTCCATCATAAGCTTATTTTAGAAAGACTTCAACCCACAATAAAGGTTGTGACCACTGTAAAAAAAGATGAGAGCATACTAGTAAATTCTGACGAGAAAAAAATTCTTATGTTTACTTAGCTTCCCATGCATAGGCATTCAAAATTCATTCCCTCTCACCCTTCAACACTAAGTAATGTTATACTGTGATTTCTGTAAAAGGTAGCACAATTCACTTTCTTATCTTACTTCACCTGCTCAAGTGTATTTTTCCAAGTAAAGAGCACTACTGATAGAAAACTGAAGTTGAAGAGCAATTATACCTTTATATGCTCCAAAACGGCTGTTGCAACATTTGTATGAAGATCAATGAGCCTCTTCTTTTCCAGAAGTTCTGGAAGAGAGCTGAAGAGATTAAATACAAACTAACCTGCTGAGTTGCACGCTTAGTTGAATGGTGTATTGTATACAGTTGGTAGAAAAAATTTATAGAATCATAAAACAGTTTGGGTTGGAAGGGACCTTTAAAGATTATTAAAATCTAAAATTATAGAACACAGTAGGATTTGAACTAAATAACTACAAAGTATAGACGCAATGATTCTATAACAGAAGGATTTTATCCACATGTAATGTAGTAAAACAGGTTTTTACCTTGACTAGCAAAAAATACATGCAATGTGGGTAACTGTTGAAAGCTTGTGATCTACAAGATATGTGCCCATCTTACCTAAACAAATAATCTACTAGAATTGTCTTATATAATGAACATTTAGTTCATGTGTGATACATATAGAAGTGTCAACATCTGCCAAATAATAATATCTGCCAAAAATATCAAATAATAATAATGATAATAATGATAATAATGATAATAATGATAATAATAATAATAATAATAATAATAATAATAATAATAATATCATCATCTGTTAAATAAACACAGAACCTCTGGATGTCCTGGAATTTGTCACAGGTGCTTCTGCATAGAACACAATTCTCTATGATGCAGGATTCATGACTGAAATCTTTTATTTTGTGAAATGGGAAACTGAATAGTTGAGCTTACTTAGGCAGAAAATTTGTTACTTAAGGTGTTGTGATCTACAAGACTTTCACTGCTGGCACTTGGGATTCACATGTATAAAAGCCTGCTCAGGGTATATACGCTTTCACATCCAAAAGTATTACAGTCAGTGTCTTACTCAGTTTAATAATGAGCAGATGAGAGGACACTTAATGACACTGATTGCATGTCCTGAAGAACCATGAAGTAAAGTAACCATACTTTCTTTCCTCCTTTAAGCAATTATAAAATCAATGTTACCTAGGACGATTGGCCATTAATGACTTTATAGGTGGAAGGAGATTAGTACTGCCTTTGTAAAGGACTGCATTTAAAAAAAAAGGAAGAAAAAAGAAGACAGCAGATCCTCTATGTAAGAAACTATAAACCTCTGGTTTTTAATTATTAATAATTATTCCAGAGTTTTCTAAATATTTTAAAGCCTAAGACTTAAACAAAGATTTGCTGTTTTGTTGTCCATCATCTGTCAGCAGGAAGAAGATCCACTTCATGTGACGGTCAACAAAACAGCAAAGCCTAGTTTAATTCTTCCAGCAGAAACATGCCTAAATGGAAGATCTTAACGGTATCTGGACTTCTCAGCATAATCCTAAAGATTAGAGCTGAAACACTGCAATAGGAGAGTTTACTATGTTATACGTATTTCTAAAGGGAGACAAGATTTTCCTTAATAATGCCAGATTACAGAAAACAGTCATATAGAGGCTAACTGAACAGTTAAACTTCCTGATGAAGCTTTATTTATATGATTTATTTTTTGCTATAAGTTTAAAGCTTTTTTATGCTTGTCCCTTTCATACCTTTTTTTGCCTTAACCTAAAACCCAGCATCCTGAGAAGTACAAAACTTCAATACTTTATTGGGGGAGCTTGGAAACATCTGCTCGCTTTTTTGAAACTGCCTGATCCATCACACATTCTTTGTAATTCCAATCAAATTCTAACCAGGACATAACATACAAAACAGCTTTTGAAGCTTTCGAAGAGGCAACTAACGCAGACACGTGCTGAATTTCACACCACACTGGAAATATCATCCCATCTATCCTCAAAGTAATTATCATTCCTTCCTCCTTCTGAATGGGCAGCAAACTGAACATCTCCCTTTGCCAAGGCATCAGTGGACTGAAAACCAGATTTACAATGAGGAACAAGTCTGAATCTCAGACTTTCAGTGTCATCCATGATGGCTAGGTCTCCAAAGCAGGAGAGTAAAGTTCCCATGCAGAGTTCTTAATTACTATAATATTGCCAACAGATGTTACAGTAACTACATTAATCAAAGCGTGATTAATTACACACCGTGCAAAGCATGCAGATGTTTCAGGAAGTGGGTTTTGCTAACAGGTTTTTTTTAAGGAAGGAATGGAGAGATAGGTAGCTGTTTTCTTCTGGTGGAAGAGTGTAAGCAACTCTATGATGCACTTAAGATTATTCCAATTTGCTGAGGAAACACTCCAAAGATGTGTAGAGGGCTCACACACATACACTGTGCAAGTTACATGTGCAAACACTTGACAAGGACACTGCGTCAAACTTTATCAGAATTATAAAGCATTTAAACTCCATTATTGAGTCGAATAGCCTACTTTTGAAGTTATTTATTTCAAAGGATATTAAATGTGAAATGACAGAAAGAATTAGAAATAGTTCCAAATTAATTAAACAATAATGCATTATTGGTTACTTACCTGACAGCCGAAGTTAGCTTAGCTGTATTATCAGAAAGCATACTTATTGCTCCTTCATCCTCCCCTTCTATACCCTGGGTTTTGGGAAAGGGTTTGGAAAGATGAACAGAAATAGTCATCATAAATACAAAGATCCCACATGCAAATATAGTCAGTACATTTAGAATCTATTTTCTCATAATGGTATTAAAGTCTGGATTGTTGTTTACAGTTATTATGGCAGTTATATAAATGTAATGCCAACAAACACAAGAAACTGAACCTTCTCATGCAATATGATACTTCTAGTCCTACTTTTAAGTTCGTATTATGCCTAAAATTCAGCATGTGCTGATAATTTTTGTGTGTGGGGTGACAGAGTGGGCTAAGCATCTCTACAACTCCTATTATGCTTTACAGAAAGCACACAGAGGTGATAAAACTTACCATGATACTTTTAAGTCTTTTGACTTCATCTTCTTGGGCTCTGTAGGATTCCAGTTCTTGCTGAACAGACTCGGCTACCTCTGGAAAAGGACTAATGCAATACTCTGTGTTAGGCTTAGTTAAATCAACAAATTGAAACACTAGAGCCAGACAGGTTGCGTGATCAAGATGATCAGGGAAACACTTTCAGAAATACCAATACACAAATCATGCTGCAGTATCAAATCAGTGAAAATAGTAACATCTTACTGTAGGTTTACTTAAACTTTTGAAGATACATTCACTGTTTCCACTGTTTTTATATAATTAAAAAACAACTTCAAAAATATTTTCAGAGAAGCTTAAAAATAGAACTATGATAATAAGAATAATACTTAGAATTTCTATTGACTAAATTAATATAAAATCTGCACCTATACAGCTTACCTGCCCTTATGTTTTTGCCAGAATTTATCAGATGTAGTTAAATCATAGGACTTCTTATTCTTTTTCTTAGGTCTAGCACCTGCTGGGGAACTTTCCATTCCTGTTGATTCTTCCAAGTTAACTCTATTCAAATGGAAATCCTAAAAAAAGAAGAATCTTATGTAAACATTTGACAGGTTTTAATTATTTAATCCATCTTTTATACTCAACCGATTGTGTTCTAGAGTATTTTGTGAAAAAAAAAAATATTAACACACTATTTATTAGAATTTCATAAGAGGGTAGGAAACAGTTTACTAACTAGATAATAACAACAGCAACATAAGAACTCCAAAATTACTCACACTTATTGAAAAAACACCAAACAGGGCAATAAATGTTAAGCAACGATGTCTGATTGCCTTACATGCAAGCAATCTTCTGATACTGAACTCTGAACACTGTTTTCTGTATGGAAAATACATTATTTAGCAATAACTGAGCTCTAACAACTGGCCAAAACTTTAAAGTATAAAAGCTTTTGTATTGCAGACAGTAAGTGTTTCTAAGGGTGAATTTCACTTACACAACTACAGTAAATATATCAAAGCTGCAAAGAAGCTCATGACATCAACAACAGAAATATCCACTCTGAGGACTATTTAGCTACACTTTCACAGCTTTTTCCCTATTTTTTTAAACACTAGTTAAATTGTGAGTGTAAGATAAAGCAATAGTTTGCAACAACACTGCTATTTCTCCATATAGCTTTTTTCCACAGATGCATGAACCTAGAAACTACATCTTTTTGTTAGATGACACAGTTATGCTCATATAATATGTCACCACACTGCTCCCTGTATGTCTTCTGGTTCTTTCCCCCATTACTTTTGCCAAGGACAGCTCTGTATTTTCTGCAGCATATATATTCTCCCTGCTTTTCAGCAAAGATTAACAAGTAGTTCACCTGCTGACTTTATTCTAACTCTTTTCAAGAACATTTAAAATTTCAACGGTGCTCTTTGCTTGGCAAATAATGATAAAGAGAGTCAAATCTTCAACAATACAGAATCTGCTATGAATATTTTAGAATAGATATTTTTTACAGAAATAATACTCCACTTTATTATGTTCATTACAGTGTACAGAACTAGATCACTGTAAGTGAAATTGTCAAATAAAATTTTAAAATGTTTCTAGTTATCCTTTGGCAGAGTTCACACTTAAAATATTATAAATGATCCATGCCAGAATAGAAACAAAATCAAGTAGCTGCTCAAAGGAAGCACACTTAGTCAATGAGCACAAACCTCATCTTACAAGACGTGTTTAATGTTTCAGCGAAGAAAGAGTATTTTTCAAGTACATATGTTCAACAAATATTTAAAGAAAAAAAATAATGTGATTGCAAATTCAGCTCTAATTTTTAATGGAGATCTATGTTTTGGTTCAATTTAACTCACCAGTGACCTGAGTTCCAAGTTAGTTTTGGCATTTACAAGCTGTTTTATCAAAATGATTCTTATTGATTAGTGTTCCTCCTTTCACCTCCCCATTTTGTCTTTATAAGGCTTTCTATCCATGCATCCCATTTTGCTGTATCCACTCCTGAAAGGTTTTTTATTTGGAAATGGGAATCTCTTCATACAAGCCTGTTTATGTGTAGAAACACCACGATTATAATCTCAACGGACGCAGTATACAACTTTGTGGCTGGGTTAGCATTTAGTTTAACAGCCCACAGAATTCCTGGACTGTAACTGAGAGCTTAAATGAAAAACAATTTAGTTGAAAGTACAGTTTACATAATCATCACCTTGGTAACACTTGCACAGTTACAATTTATGGCCTTTTAAAAGGCTACTGTGGTTATTTCATGAAATATGCTCAGTATGTGAAGAACCTGGCATGCTTGCCTTTAAGGTGAATAACTTGACTGGTTTTGAAATTAAACTTTTGCCCTCGACATGGAATCACAGGCCGTTTGGTTACAATTTCACTAGACAAATTCATAATCCTATCAACTCAGTCAAAATTTATATGCAACATGCAACATTTAACAAGTTGTTCCAGAGAAACTACTGAAGCCTGATGCAGTACAGATAAATATCCGACAACCCTCAAATCATTCTTCTAGTGTTATTCTAATACCCCTCCATATTTGTAGTACTAGTTGTCCTCAGCTTCTACTACATCTTTGATCCCTCTGCATCTCGATGTACCAAAGTCCTACCCCAACACATGCCTGAGGCCTCTCGACTCTACTTTCTCTACCCAGCAGCTGAGCAGGAGGCAAGTACGTGGAGCTTTGCATGGACTTACTATCTAGTAAATGAGCTTCTGCTGACTAAACAGTTGGCAGGTAACAAACCGAAGTAAGTGTAGACTTTGTGCAACAGCGTTTACCCCTCTAAAAATTCAAATTCAGGTTTTCATCTCCTACCCTTTCACTGATTTTTAAAAGAAACAGGTAGAAATTCAGTACTTCTATTTGCAAGTCTCTAGTCTGTTGAACACTGGAGAAAACACAGTGCAAACTTTTTTTTGTGTATGCATTTCCTAAGGAAACGAGGCAAAAAATTGTTTATTTGTAAAAATCACCCTTAAGATGAAGGAACCTTTCGAAAGGTTTCGAATGCATAAAATAAAATCTAAGTCTGTCCTAAAACATCTCATTAGTGCTAAAATATTTTCAAAATAGCAATGCAAGTTTCTGGACAACACTGTATTTATGACTATACAGTTCAGAACCAACTCTGTATATAAACACATATGTGCATGTGCCTATTTTACATATTCCTCTAACAGTCTCACAATAATAAAACCAAAATATTTCTCAAAGCTAGACACTGAAATGATTTGCGTAACTAACTCTACAGGATAAAAAAAGCATCCAGACAGTAATTATTCTTACTCATATAATCTTTCATTATTTACTCTGTAACTATATACAAAATGCCTAAGTCTGAAAGCAAATACTATTCACCTAATTCAAGTACGTTTCTACTACTGGTTTTATAAAATAAACTTGAGGAAACAGAAGCGGTTTAAGGCTATCTAATTTCCAAAAAATTACTAAAAAAAAAAAAAATCTATTTTAGATTTCTCACAGTAGGGTCATATGCCACTTGGTACCTCTATACTGAACACCTACACCACCTTGTGGAGAAAATCAGAAATAGGTATTTTTTAGAAATTCAAAGTAGTACTAAAATCAGTTTAAACACTCATTAACAGCACTTATTTTTCAATACTGAATTGTACTTTACAGAGTTTGCAGTTTACATAACATAAAAGATCATGAACTACTGAAGAAAAAGCTAGGATTGATGAATTACCTATCTTTTGATATCAAGATTTCAACCTTTAACCATTTTAGAAGTTATTGCTAAATAAACCTTCTACAGAAAATTTTTCACGTTGTTTTTTAATAAGGAACTTCCAAATAAACTAGACAGAACAGATTTTGGATTAAGATAGAATTTGGTGTTAAGTTTAATAACAAACTGAGTGAAAAAATAATTTTGGTAATAAAAGCAGATTTATTCTTACCAGAACATCATGCACTAAAGCTTGGTATGTCCAAGTATGATGTAGAGGAGTTGCTAAATCTATGTTTCTGTCAACAAGGACTAATAGGGGCCTTTGGAAGCTGAAAAGATGACACTGTATTAGTACTTCTTTAAACATGTTTAGAGCACCCCAGTAACATCCTGACTGATATCAGCCACCTTCTACATCATATTTCAAGTTAAAAGCCAAACTGGCTACTGCAGAGTTCCTCCAGACTTCCCCAAATCATCTGGGGCTGATCACTGCCAGAAATTCCATGAATCACTGTCTTAGTAACGATAAAAAGATTATTTTATTTTGTACTAAGTGAAATTACCAATGCATAAATATTGAGCAGAAGTCAAAACACTAAACAGTAACTTGCCTTTTAAGCATTAACTAATATCTCTTTGTGTGGATACACATTTGAGTTCCAAACAAATGTCGGAGTGGGTAGTATTTGACCTTAATTCTCATTATGAACCTCAAATATAAAATGTCTCTTTCAAGTGTTTTTGATTTCATTTTTCTCTTTGCTTATGTATGAAGTCCATAAAGAAAAAATTATGAATTTCTAAGACGCACTGTGGCAATTCCATCAATACTCAATTTTGTGGAAAAAGAATGCAGACATGCCTAAATGTCTTGGGTTATGGCTACATGAAAAATTTTTAGTGAAGATAGGAAGGCTGTGAATTGACAGAACATTATTGCAAACATTTCCCTTAAGCACACTAACCCTACAGTAAATGTGATGACTAAATTACAGTGTATTTGAACAGAGTAAAAGCACATTAATCCCATGCTCTGTATTTCCTTGCAGTATTTTCACATAGATATATAATCAAGAGCCTCAGTCATCTGATTCTGAAAACGAAACTAAAGATCTGAACCCATTTAACTGGTTAAAAGTTCCCATATTTCCCTTTCCTTGCATTTTGAGTTTCTGAGGGTAATGATGCTATACTACCAGCAAAACAAGCCACCACTCTGAAGGAAAAACAGTGGTTACAATCCAGTTCCTGTGAAAATGAGGGAACTGGTATTTCAGAGTTATTCTTTCTCCTAACACCTTTCTAACTTGTTCCATTTTGCCACCTTTGATGTTTTTTCTATCTTTTATCCAAGTTCTACTCTTGAGATAAAAATATGACTATTTCATATCCACTTAGGACATCATAACCATTTCCTTCAGCTAGTCTTCCCAATACGTCTCCTCATCTTTTCATGTACAGTATAAACTCCTGTAACACACTTCCCTAATGCAGCCTGCGGTGTATTGAACTATCTGTGGGCAACAGCATAAGCAGGAGGCTACTGAGAACACATTATTAGATGCATGCAACCATCCATAATGTCTTTTCTCACCCCTTTTTCCACTCAAAATATTCAAATGGTCATGACTTAACAGTCCTTAACTATATAATTATCCAAGTAGTAGTTCTTAAGCAGTCCTCCTCTGGTAGATGTAGGGCTCAGCAGAGAAACACTTGTTTTTGACATAACTACAACTGTTAACAGTGCTTACAAGTGAGAAAATGAGTATTTCTTTCTTTTTAATGGACTAAAGGTTGCTAACAGATATGTTCACACATCCAACTGCTATTGTAGTCCTGTAAACTGAGTGTATTTGCAGGAGCTTGGTTTTTGCTGGGTTAAGAGGGTGATCAAAATTACCTGGTTTGTTAAATAATTTCTGTCCTAGGACTGCACACTTATTAGCTACAAAAGTTTTCAAACTGGTTATGCTAAGAGATTGGGAAACTCTCTTAAGAGTATTTAAATTCTTTTAGTATAGAATTTGAACAAAATTCTTGTAAATACAGTTTTCAGTACAGCGGTAACTTATGCTAATGAGGTATTTCAGACAACTGAAATATGAAAAATAAAAATACATAGTTGTCATTAGCATCATACCTGAACTGGCCAGCTCCAAGTGTGTCACCTGTAAAAAGACTGTTTCTGGCATCTCTTAGATTCTCTCTGAGCTTCTTATCTAATTTCTGAGGGGGGAAAAACAAACCAGTTTTTAACAAACCATTGGTTCCCTAAGGTCTTCATATGATCACAATTTACAGATCTGTTGTGCTGTTTTTGTAGTATATAAATGGCTTAACTGCAGGAAGTCTAGGTCCATTGCACACGAGAAAGAAAGAAATCTCTTCCTTCTATTTTCTCCCTCCAGCATTTATACCAATATTCAGGACTACACAGAAGATGTTCCCTTTATGTCCACTAACCTCCTCTCAGGCACTCATCACCCTCTCACTGAATATCTGAATAGAAAATACCAGTAGGAGGCACCAAGAGGGAACCACAGCAGAAGCAGCAAATTGGGCTGTCAGACACTGCCGCACTGTTTCATAAAAATGAGATTACCCTCAATATGAATGCATGCACACCAAATGCTTAGGTTTTATCAGTATTAAGGCTTCACTGACAGAGATGTGAGGAAAATGGAAGTAATGAAGCACAGTGACTTCTAATGAAGACAGTGCTGTAGAGATTTTAAATTGTGATTTAGTTTGGTAATTTCATCCCTGATTGATGATCAAGTTCTATGTCAATTTAGTTGAATATAGAAAAAGTGTCTTGTACTTACAGGGTTTCCCAGTAAGATAGATAAATTCTCACTAAAACACATAGAAAAACCCAGGCCAGACAGACACTTTTAAAACTGTGTATATATAACTTAATTTATAATGCCTGTCAGAAAGTCTTGATAAACTCTAGATTAGGAACAATTATTCATGTTTAAGTTCCTCATCAGTTGATTCTGCAATATTACAAGTTCTACAGATGAATTCCATGGAACTGAAATCAGAAAGTAAAACTGGTATATATCCTTTTCAGTTTTATTTCCTTCATAAGGAAAAGGATACAAGGACACTAGATCCCTGCCTAGCCTTGAGAAAAATAAACAAGGTGTTAGGAAAGTTTTACAACAATGATACTTGTTTAGAAAACGGTTTCTTACCACTGCCACCATTTCAGCTGCAGTTCCTCTTGAGCATCTGATTATAGGAATAGCTCCTAATAAAAGATATATTGACTTCTACTTGCATTATAATTTTCAGATTATAAGGTAGTATACTTTTCATAAAACAAATTTTTGGTAACATTCTGAGATTAAATATTTCAAGTGGACAATACAAACATTAAATTTTTCTCTTGTAGTCTCTATGAAACAAAAAATGCCATATAGAAATGCTTAATAAAGTTTTACAAAAGTGAATACCTCATACAGAAATTTACGAGAAGTATCGTGTACACTAGAAAGATAGCTAATGTACCATGGAGGGGACAAATTATATCATATAGAAGCATTAAAAGTTAGTTTCAAAAGGTTAGAAGTCCCTTGAAAACAATAATTGGTACTATAACACCACCACCACCACCCCAATGTATCAGTTACAACTCACTGCAGGGTAACGTCATTTTCAAAAGCACATTTTCCATTGGCTTTCAGGATTCAGGTTTCAAAACCTTTAGTTATTGTTTCTCACTTATCTACATTAATACTAAAATTCCAATACCATATTCTGTGTAATTGACTGAATAAAAGAGATTTAATTTGTATCATGCTAACACTTGAAAGAACTCAATAGGTCCAAGGGAATCTCCCTTGACTGGACTGCCCCATAGTGATCCCCAGCTCCTCTTTTAGGAATGCTATCTCCAATTGATTGATTTCTGTGAGAACTTAGATTAAATGTCATTACTATGAAAAATGTATGAGCCAAGCATCAAGAAAATTCACAACAAAGTAAATTTGATATATCTTCCTATTCATGAGTTATTTCAGTTAGATCTTTGCAGGGTTTATGTGAGGGGGATTTTTTCTCTTTTTTTTTTTTTTTTGAGCGCTACAATTTCAAACTCAAAGCACTATTGATCTTCATTGCAAATTAGTATTTTGTAAAAACAGTGAATACAAATGTTTGCATTTCAGAATTTTTCTTCCATTGATACGGAAGACTAAGACTCAACTCCCATGTAGGACAGCCTTTATTGTCTTTTGCAGTGATGTACAGCAATAATTTGAGCAAGATCATTAACCCACTCCATGAACTATTAAGAATTCTGTCACAGATCTAATTCTGCCTTTAACTTGCTATAGGAAATCATTAAACTTCTAGGTATCTCACTGAACATGGATCTTTTCTAAAAGGAAAACATATGGAAAATACGCTAGAATTTGAAAACTTACCAAGTGTAACAAAAAAACAGAAGAGACTATCAACAATAGTGTCCATTATAGTTTCCATTTCTGTGTCTGTTATATCTGGTCTGTTAATGGCTAAAACAGTGTGAAAAAGAGTGAAGAACAGGGTTAAAGCAGTTTATGACACTTTAATACTGAGATAGTGATCCTCTTCTTACCTAATGGCTGTTAATAGCCAACAGCTTTTGTTGCAGAAGAGATCAAATTGTGAAATGCCCTCTTTAGCACATGCATTAGATTTTTTCTCCCTTTTTTTTTTTTCTTTTTTTGAGCAAAAATTGGGAGAACTTAATTATTGTTCATTGTATAAGATCAAACAATACACATTTTTTTCCAATTATCTTAGACAATGCATACTGTAACTTCCAGATTGTGTTAGTACTGCATTATTAAAAATCTCCTAGAAAACTATGTTAGAGAACAGAAATGGCCATCCACTTGGAAACCATTTTTCAGATATAAACTCCACAAGAATTACTTGTGTAATTTAAAGAGAATTACAGTATGCAGTTATCTATATTTAAAGATTCTAAATCCCACCTCTTGTAATGGAGATTCCTTTTGTTTTTTTCTTTTTTTTTTTTTTTTTGTAAATAAATTTACTGCCATTCTCTAGGTTAGGGACAATTCCCAAGTTCTAAACCATTTCACACTACAGATAGATTTCCCTCACATATTCACATCAGAAAAAGAGACACACAGCAATATTTCTATTCAATAATTAACACTGACAAGAATGTAATAGCAAACAGGAAACACCAAATCTAATATTATCACAGGTCTCAAGTCAAGCACTATCTGAGGACTCATGCCATAAATCCCACCCTCGTTTGTTTCATTTTACCTTTAAAAAATTCTCACGTAATTATCTGTCTTAATCTCTTTCTTCAAAAATGAACTTCAAAGCTTTGAACATTAATAAGCCTTCCATCTCAAATTTATGCATGGCCAGACATAATCATTCTCTAACTTTAAAGTGCTTTTTTTCCCCAGTTTTTGTCCTCTAAGGACTTCAGAGAGATGGGTTATATTAACGATTTCTATCAGCAGGTATACTTAATAAGTCAAACTTTTTACCAGGCTGCTAGGATGACAGCAACAATAGAAATGCCCTCCTCAGCATTTTTTTTATTCTGAGTTCAAGTTTCTGAAATATCAGCACCAAGAAAGGCAGACTGTTCCCAATATCTGTATTTTTCTGTAATGAAAAGCTTTGAAATTAACTGGGGCTATCATTCTGTAGTTATCTCCAACTAATGGTCTCCCAGTTTACAGGAGGAAAATAATCTTATTTTTACATCCTTGCCTTTCTCAATTTCAAAATTTAATTCCCTCCCTATTACTGTAAGATACAAATTTATGATACTCCAGTAATCTGCATACTGTCAAGTGCCTTCTAATGCTGTGTAACATGCACATTTTATGAGCACATTCCTTTTTTTTTGTACCATAGCAATCAACACAAATGTTCAATATTACTGATCCTTAGGTCAACCTTTGAGAAACTCCATTAATAACCTTTTAGTAAAGTGTTCTATCATGTTTTCTAGATATTCCTCTCTCTGCACTGTAATAAGCCTATGGAGGATGCATCTATTACAGAAAAGTAAGCTTAGGTCTCCTACATTTTTTTGTTGTTTCACAAAATTGATTCAAATTTGGTAAAGAAGCATTCAAATAGCATCAAACAGGATGCCAGGAACATTGACTTTATTCCAGTATTACCCATTTTTTCTTTCTCCTTGTTGTGGTTTAACCCCAGCCAGCAACTAAGCACCATGCAGCTGCTCACTCACTTCTCCCCACTCCCAGTGGGATGGGGAGAATCCGGAAAAAAGTAAAAGTCATAGGTTGAGATAAGAATGGTTTAATAACCAAAATAAAATAATAACAATAAAAATACAATACTAGTAATAGTAATGAAAAGTAACCTTTTCAGAGAGAAATAAAACCCAAGAAAAGGCAAGTGATGCACAGTGCAGTTGCTCATCACTTGCTGATTGACTCGTGAGTGGCAATCCTCCCCCCGTCCCACTCCCCCCAAGTTCCTACACTGAGCATGACAACCTATGGTATGGAATATCCCTTTGGCTAGTTCGGGTCAGCTGTCCTGGCCATGCTCCCTCCCAGCTTCTTGTGCAGCTTCTTGCTGGCCGAGCATGGGAAACTGAAAAAATCCTTGACTTAGGATAAGCACTACTTAACCAAACTAAAACACCAGTGTGTTATCAACATTATTCTCACACTAAATCCAAAACACAGCACTGTAACAGCTGTAACAGGAAGAAATTAACACTATCCCAGCCAAAACCAGGATACTTCTACAGTCATGGAAAAACATAACCAAAGGGAGCCTGAGAAATTATCTAGTCAGTCCTCTTGCCCAAAGATGAGTTAAACACACATTATTTCTGTCTAAATGAATTCCCAAAGCCTCCCAGTCATGTAAGTGCCATAATGTTTATAGGTCATCTATTCTAATACTTCACTATCTGTAATGTTAGAAAGTACTCCTAATATCTGACCAGAAACTTTTCTGTTGTAATTTAAGCTCAACACTTCTTGCCCATTACTACGTGGACAGAGAATATGTGTTATCTCCTTTCCATCTGTGAAAGCCTTTTACATAACTGAAGACTGTTATGCTTATTTACCTTGATGTTACCTCTCTGTAAACACAGTCATATAGTCAGGAATCCAGGAAACTGCAAATTACTTAGTTCACCCATTCAGCTACATGCGTGGCTGCACATGGCAGTGCTGCTGCAAGAGTAACAGCCTTCTTTCATCACTGTCAGATTTACACTGACTTCCGTAGACTATGAAACTACATATAAACTGACAGTTTCCTGCTAAGGTTACTTTCTGAAGGCAAAAGAGATGACTTCTTCACCCCTGCATTCCTACTGCCTGCCCGTGTCAGATCTAGAACTCACACAGTGAGACGGATTGGCTCAGTGTTCTAATGGAAAACTAATTGCTCTCTATGGGAGACGAGATTTCTGTTCGACCAGCTTTTGGAAACAGCCCACTTCTAGACTGGTTTAAACACAGGGTGAGACCACATATCATGTGGCAAATTTCAGCAGCCCAAGAGAGGAAAACAAACCACATAGAATCTGACAGGTGCAAAACATTTTCAGTCATTTTAATTCAAATTCCTTGTTAGCTAACAGGAATCTTACGAAGGCTGGTCAAATATCTTTAGATACACACAAACACATCACAAAACGATTATTACTAAAGCTCTTAACAGTGGGTTTTAGTAAAAAAAATAGAAGTCTGCTTTTCAAACAAAACTGTCCTTAATTTTGACAATGGAATCAATCCCCAGTGTGAGACAGAACTCCCTATTATGGATCCAGTTTTAAAGAAGGGTAATGATTCTGAAAACTGGGCAGGAGAGGAGAAAAATCCCCCCTGCTAAATGTTAGGCATATGGAGACTTCTCATCTCTGCCTGGTCACTAGTGAGTGTTCTGTGTATCCAAATAAAGCAGGAATTAACTGTGTGATACTGACTACATTAAAGTAATGAGGAGCTGTGGCTAAACAGGGGCTATCTTGCCTCTGACTTACACACTTCTGCTGCTTCCCTTCCACTGGATTTGTAGATCACACAAATGAGCTGGTATTTCATATGAAAATCAAGTCAAGTAAACAAACACTCTGCAACTCCAAGATTATTGGTTCTGATGTAAAAGAAGCAGAAGATGAGGGAAACTACAGCAGGGCAGCAAGACAAGCCATCTTGTAATAACTAGTCATTTGAGTAAGAGGGGCAGAACAAGCAGAGTGATATTTCTCTGTTGATTTAGCGTATTAAATAGGCCAGGAGAGCCGAAAAATCAGATCAAAGGAGGGAAGAAAAGCATGTGGACAATTATGACAACTAATATATATGTTGACTTGAGCTGCCATAGCAACACAGCTGTATAGGTAACTGACCTAAGGCAGCCACCTGGTGTTCCTGCTAGGTTCCAAAACAGGTCCAACAGCAGTCTCAAGAAAATAAAAAAAGTGTTCCATGAGGCTAACTTCAATTACAACTCTGATACTTTATGAAGAAGGTCACGTGCTTGCAGAAGCAATCAGCAATTCTTATTTTCTAGAATACCCTTCCCCTGATTCTTCCCTGTGCTACTCCAGCCCTCGATTCTAACCATCTCCCCTTGCACACTGCCACATGCCTTCCTGTCTTGAATAAGAAAAGCAGGTACCCACTAGTCACTGTCTAGAGGATACAAGAAACTCTTATCAGTTAAAGTAATTTTTCTTGCTTTGCATTCCTTACAGTAACTTTGCAATTGACCATTCACATAGAAACAAAATACTTAATTCCTTACCACAGAAGGGATTTGTGGCTAAATAGTGGTGCCTAAACACAGCAGCCACTGGCAGTGTCTGTCTACACGGGTAAACAGTATGAAATTTTTTCTACATTATTGCATGTATAAAAAAGGCCCACTATCCATATAGGTCTATAATGCAGTTTTGCTTTACTAAATTTGTTATTTAAAAATACATAATTATTTTTCAGTATTAAAATATCATGCAGTAAAGATGCTGAAATTAATACCTAAGAACTGCTTCCTTCATGACTTTAAACTACACGTCTAACAGATTATTCTGAGTTCTGAGCAGACCAAAGCAAAATAAAATCATTGCTTGGCATTAGCTGCAACTTCAAAAGTAAATTTCAACTTTAAACGTTCTGGTAAAATTTTTTTTAAAATTGTGCTTACCACGATATGAAACAAGTTCTTTGTTTTGGTTACACAACACAAACATGTCATCTTCTAAAGTAATGAAATTAAGATATTGATCAAACACCTAGAAATCAAAGAGTGAGAAGAAGTGAATGTATTTAAGTATACATGAAAATAATTAGTTAATAATTTGCAGGTTTTGGTACAGGCATTCAACAAAAATAAAAGGATATATACTTGGTACCTGCCTTTAAATCATGAAGTTACAGGAATGTACTGAATAACAGTGTGTATGGTTGAAACATTCACCTCTAAAGTACACTGCCTATCTAAAATCACAACTGCACTCATACTGCACTGTTCATGTACTCAGGAGCTAACAACCTCACCCCACTGTATATGCACTGGATGCACTCCTTGAGCTGATGAGATTGGAAATACTCTGAAACCACTATATTTCCCCTCTTATCATTTAGCACAAAGGTCTTGCAGCACTCAGACTTTCGAATAAGCTGAAGTATAGTACTAAACTGCATGAATGGGATGAGCGTAGATTCCCCTTTTTCCCCCAGTAAATCTATGCCTGACATTGAATCTAGCTAAATGTTTATTTTTTTCATGGTTCAGTCAGAAAAGCTGTGTATAGCACTGAAGTAGCCATGTAAAAACGCAGTGACACCTGTAATGGTAGTATCTTTAACATTAGAGAGTGGAGGATTTTCTTACCTTAGCCACTTGAGTTACTGCATTAGCACCTATGGCAGCATTTGCAATATCTTCCAGTTTACTTCTTGAAATAGCAGAAATAAAGTTTAAATAATAAGATTCATAAAGCTGGTTTCGAAGATCCTAAAAGGAAGGAAAACCACAACCTTTTTCCTGAATAAGTACTAATATATTTCTGACTAATTAAAAAACATTATTTCTTTTACTACGCGATGTTCCAATTATTCACAGTCAAATTAAGTGTTTGGAAGTACTTAGCTGTCTGTTCATACAGCCCTGTATGCAGTGTTTTGACTACATAACTAGATATACCTAACCTAACACAGAACTGCAAAAACTAGGAAATCAGATTTAAGGTACCAGATAATAATTACTACTCCACACATTACCAGCAACCAAAAGTATTCTTTTCTCTTCTTCCTTCCTTTGGTGAAGATGTCAACCTTCCATCAATTCCCCCCAGAGAATGTGAAAAGCTGATGTTAGCCTAATCCAACCCCCCGCCTCAAAGCAGAGGCAAACAGGTGGCTCAGGATTGTGTCCAGTTGAATTCTGAATATCCCCAAGGATGGAGACTCCACAGACTTTCCAGGCAATCTCTTCCAGCATTTCACCACCCTCATTAAAACAGATTTTTCTTCTGTTTAAATGGAATGGCCTATATTTCAATTTGTGCCTACTGCCTCTTGTCTTTTCACTCCCCAAACTCTCCAAAACACAGAAGACATATTTACCCTTCTACTTTCTGGGAAATCGAAGTTTTGCATGTGAAAAATTTGGGTAATATTTTTATGACAAGTATGTGCTCATCTATAGAAAAAGACAAGCAAAGGTGTTCAGACACTCACAGGAACTAGATACAGAACGGTCTCACTCCGGTGAGTGCAGGATTACTTCACGCACTCTACCTCTGTTGCGTCCACTCACTTGAGACATTAAGCAAGCAAGTTACCTGGCACATTCTGTCAATATTTTCTTCTGTTGGCATTACAAAGTAAACAGCTGGAACATCTGGAATAGCATCTCGATCTGAATGCAAAAGCCTGAAAGGATAAGTACATCTCTCATGTGCTCTTCCTCTGATTTGTTTAAAATTATAAAGGTTAAATTATTTATTTATACGGACACATTTAGTTTCCTACAATTTCTCCCTATACCTTTAGCAAGAACAAAACATGAAAAAAATAGCAAAATCATATTTATATAATTTTTGGCTGAGTATGTTAATAGAGGTCTCCGAAGTTCATTCAAAGCTTGAGAAAAGGCTTCACAAATCTTCAAAACCAGATGAATCCATTCAGAGGAAGGCAAAATACTGCACCCACGAAGTTCATATACAATTATTAATTGTTGACACGATAACAAAAACGTGGTATATCTCATACTATTAAACTTGCCTTTCCTGATCATTAAAACAAAGACAAGCAAGGTGCTTACACGTTTCTCTCACTTTTCTGCTGATATGTCAATGTGTTAAACTGTGTTTCTGTTTCTAGCCTTCAATTAGTAAAAGTTAATGAACTTCTAACAAAAATGAACGTATCTTCAGAGATCCTCTATCACTATTACGGCAACTCAGGAATGACAATGAACTTAATAAACATAATGTGGAGAAAAAGAAATGCAAAATCTCTTAAATTAGTATTTAAAGATTCTGTATCTTTGACAAGAGACAATTAAACTCTATGTGCAAAAGAATATGCACAGTCCCATGAAACAGTTCGTGCCAAAATAAATTCAAGATATATGAATACAGAGGGAATTGTACAGACAGATTCCCCAAAAGACCTACTGGATAATTCTTGAGTACGGGCCTTCTCTGCTTAGTACAAAATCCTACCAAATAGTGTTTGGACTGAACTCTCCACCCCCTGATTCTGAATAATATCACCTGATTTTAGAAAAAAGACAGGGTATATTATTTCACTAGTTATTCACCAAATGATTTTCAATGTTTTGTTTGTGATTTGGGGGGGGAACATTAAATAAAGTTATTTTTAGAAAAAAAAAAAAAAATTTTTGTTTACTTACAGATGCAAAGTGATTCCCATATCTCTCAGCTCTTTCACTGACAGCAAAGGGGAAATTATGTCTTGGCCAAATCTGTCATAAATGAGAACCTGAAATAGATACACATCTTTTCACAAAGCGGTATAAAAAGTGGATACATAGAGTACAGGATACAGTGGATACAGGAATTCAGGTTTAAGGGACAATTGTCCTAACCTGAAAAGTGCTAAATATTTAATAATTTATAATATATTATTAATTTGTCATAGACTTCCATTTGTGCTTACTAATATGCCAAAAAAAAAAAAAAAAAAACCAAAAACCAAAAAAACCCTCAATGATAAAGGGAAATAAATTCATCACTTCCATCTCCTGAAAAGGGTCAGTCAAACAGGAATCTGCTGTGAGAAATTTTTTAAGTGCAGAACTTCTCTGACTGAATTTGGGAGGAAGCAAAAGGAGAAGCTGAGAGGAAAAAATGGAACTAGCAAAAAAAAATACAATGGAATGGATGAAGAGACAGAATATATGCTTTGTAGTAGCAAAAACTACCCACAAATTACTTATTTTAAAACTAATAAAGGTACCTTGAGATCAGTAGTTCTAAATTTAAGGCTATCAATAGTTCTTCCCTTTCTACAGGCTTTTTTCTGACTCTGTGAGTTCACCTGTAAGGTATCACTTAAGTTTCTGCCAACAGGTATCAATGAAACCTAAGTATATTTCAAAAATGTCCTCCTCCCTTGCTTATTAAAATATTGCCTAAAGAATCAGTCACTGGGTCATCAAGCAGCCAAGATCTCAAATATGTATTTTTCTAAGCAATTCTAACATTCAATTCTGTATATTTGTAAGACACAGGAAAAAATATTTTGTACAAGTTAATAACACACAGAAGACACTTGAGTCAGTTAAAATTTGAAAATCTGAACTGTTTTGAACACTACACAATCCTCCTATTCTTGTTCAAATAATTCTTACCTTCCATACTGGTTCTCCTGTACTGTTTTTAACAGGAGGAACGTTGAAGTTCAGCATACGTTTCAAAGCCACTAGAAAATAAAGCAGAATAATGCTTTACCCTCTTCACACTTCAAAAATAGAGATTAAACACATGACCAGAATTTTATTATACATTTCAGAGGAAAACCATCATAAAATATAAACACAAGTCATATTTTCATTATTTTTGTGCAGCACTGACTGACAAGTGGCATGTGTCGGCTAGAATTTATGGGCTCCAGAAGACACCGCAAAAAGAAAAGAAGCAAGTCCCAAAATGCGAAGAAAGAATCTCTCTCCTTAGTTATACAGGCTACATTCTGTTGCAGTTTTCCTTAAAAATAATTCTAGCATCCTCCTGGAGGTACATTCTATACAGCAGGGACTAGTTTGCTTTATTCCGCTGATCCGCTTTTCCTACCCCACAGGAACAACAGTATACACACAAGCAAAAAAATACCTTTTCACCTAACTAAAACTGATACACATTTTGAAAATTTTGAGAACTCACAGTAGGAAATTGCTGGTTTAAGTGGTATAAAAATACCCTTAATTTGCAGCAGGAAAACTCTGAAAGAGGAACGAGCTTTCATGTAACTTCCCTTTCAATGCAGAAACCAAAGCAGATTCCTTCACCTATCTGTAACTTCTAAATCTATTAAGTAAGGAGTCCTTCCTCATTTACCCAATTAAACAGTATACTATGTGCTGTTCTCCCATTTTTGACAAGAAGCAAAAGACTATTTGCATCAATATAATTTAGCAACCACTCCAAATTCGTAAAAAAATCATCACAAAACTTTGCAAGCAGGAAAAACTTTCAGAAATCAGGGCAACGTACACCACTGCTCATAAATGGAGAGCAGTATAAATGATTAACGTCTAACTCTTCAGCTGAATGAGGCTTGTGAGTGTACTCGGTGCAGTTCCCCTGCGGTTTACAGGACCACAGGACAGCTCAGGCTGGGAAGGACCTCAGGAGATCTCCAGTCCAACCTCCTGCTCAAGCAGCATCAGCTGTTAGGCCACACCAGGCTGCTCAGGGATTTAACCAGTCTTGAAAACCTCTGGGATAGAGATGCCACAATGACTCTGTGCAACCTGTGGCACTGACTGTCCTTGCGGTGAAAAAGTTCTTCCCTACATCCAGTTTGAATATCTCATTTCAATGAGTTGCTCCTCACCCTCCGGCCATATACCACCCCAAGGAGACTGACTCCATCTTCTCCACGCCCCCCCCCCACCAGGTATTGGGGAGCTGCTGTTAGGTCCCCTTGCAAAGCCACCTTTTCTCCAGGCTGAACAAGCCCTAGTCCTGCAGCCTCACCTCACGGGCCAAGTGCTCCATCCCCTGCATGTTATGGCAGCCTTTTGCTGATCCGCCTTCAACTAACACCTTTCCCTTACTGGTAGCCACAAACTGGACACTGTACCTAGACGTGGTCTCCTGGGGCTGAGTAGGGGAGGGACAATCACTCCCCTTGATCTGTGCTCCTGTGACTATGGCCCAGGATGCTGCTATGTGAGGGCACACTATAGGCTGATGTTCTGCTTGTTGCTCACCGAGAGCCCTTACAGGCCTTTTCAGCAGAGCTGCTCTCCAGTCTGCCAGTCCCCTGCCCACTGCAAGGGGTTCTTCCTTCCCAGGTGCAGGAATTTACATTTGTCCTTGTTGAATTTCAGAAGGTTCCTGGTGGCCCATTCCTCTTGCCCATATAGGTCCCTCTGAGTGGCAGCTCTGCCCTCAAGGATGTTAACCAATTCCCCTTGTCTGATGTCACCTGTACACTTAATGAGAGTGTGCTTTGACACTTCCTCCAGGTCACTGATAAGAGATTTTAAGCAGAACATGTGACAAGACAGACTCAGTTGTTACCAGCCTCCAGGTACAGTATGTCCGATTAATCACAACCCTCTGAGCCTGACCATCCAAACATTTTTTTGCCTATCTAGTTGTCCACCCCTCCGGCCCATGACATCCTAACTTGGATACAGGAATACAGTGTCAAAAGCCTTACTGAAGTCAAGGTAAATGACATACTCTGCACTCCTGTTGCCTACAAATCCAATTTATCACTGAAGGCAATGAGGCTGATCAGGCATGATTTAGCATACAGAAATCCATGCTTCCCTTCTCCTTCACGTGATGGGAAGTATATTCCAAGAGGATTCACTCCACAATTAACTCTGAAGTGCCAAAAAGGCCTAGAAGAATATGTTAGTAAAGGCTGAGGGAAGGAAGGCACTGGGTACCTCAGCCTTATCTGTGTCCATCACCATTAAATGACCAGCTCCATTTACCAGCACCATTTAGCAATGATCCAACATTTTTCCTTATTCATATTTTCACTATTAATGTCGCAGTGGAAGCTCTTCTCATTGCTCTTTACGTAAGCTGCAAGTCTCAACTCCAGTTGAATTTTGGCATTCCTAACGCCATCCATCCATGCACACCCAGGCAATGTTTCTAAAGTCCTCCTTCACAGTCTGTCCCTGCTTCCTTCTCCTCTGGGCTGCTTTTTCAAATCACATTACCAGCAAAAACTTGATCAAGGGAGGAAGCAAGCTAGCAGTAAGTGCTAGTTCTCACTGGAATCCAGCCTTCCACTTGCTCAATACTTTTTTTTTTTTGAAATGTTTTTTTGTTAACACCATGAAGCAATCCTGAAAGTTGATCACAGACTGCTCCTGGAGCTTTTGCTTCCCACTGCCAATGACACCTTCCATACGTTTCAGTTATACGAGCAATTTTGTATAAAGCTGCAGAGTTATCTGTACAGTTATATATTTTGTTACTACTGGATCTGAAGCAGCTTCTTTGTAGAGTTTACCATTTAAACTAAAACTTGGCATAAGGTCTCTACTAAGGAAGACAGCAATCAGACTAGTGATACGCTGTGACAATCATGACAAACATCCAGCAAGTCTCTGGGTTTCTTTTTTGTATTTATATTGCCATTTCACTTACGTTTAGGCTGAATGTTCTCCAGAGGCAAGGATCAGGTTTTTACTGTGCTTGCACAATGATATGCTTTGACTGGTCACAAACCAGGATAAAAGTCACAACAGATGGTGCACATACATAGTAAAACAAAGACTAAAGGATTAGAAATATTTTTTTTTTCTAAGTATCTTTTAGTTGTTCAATCTACCACCTTGCAAATGACCTCCCCAATGGGTTCAGTGGTAAAGACTGACTGAATCAAGTAACAATGTGAAACACAATAGAAAATAATAAAGCTGCATGGAATAAGGGCTCAAAGAGAGTGGGCTTTATCAGAAAGGTAGCAAAGAGAAATAAAGGATTGAAAAGGAACATCAAAAAGCACTATTACTAGTAGAAAGCTACAAGAATGACATTACAGAAAGTAGACTTATGGTACAAAGATGGAGAACACTAGTAAATACTTAAGGTCCACACAGAAGCTCAGACTGAGATTTTTAGGCAGATGATTTTAGACATTGCATCTTAAATGAATGCACTCAGAATCCTCTATACCATCAGAAAGATACTGCAGTTGTCAAGTAGATGGTGACAAGATTACAGCTCAAACTTCTGACAAAAACTTTGGCAAGCAAGGGAAGTAGAGGGCTACGGAGTTGACATGCTTTATGCTTTTATATGTTGAAATGGGTGGCTCTAGGCTCCACAAAGCAGCATCAAGGCAAAGCAGAAAAAGTGAATTCTGGACTTGTAGCAATGTGTAAGGAGGGACCAAATAACTAACCCTTTACCCACAGAAACCCCCCTGCATAACTGGGTGTAAATCTCATTCTCAATTTCTTGAGAGTTAGCACACACTCCGAGGCGCATGTGTTATCTTAACAGGAGCGCCACAACAGCAGCTTTATTTTCGCACCATTAAACGGCATTTCCCATTGATCCTTACCACTAGCAGAGAGAAAGCTGAAACAGAGGAAGGTCTCACGTCCACGGAGGACGAGCACCACTCAATCCCGGCCTCGTGCGAGCCCCTCCGCGGGAGCGATTTCCACACCACGGCAGCGCCTGCGGCCGCGCCCCGGGGGCCCGGGCCTACCGCCGGGTACTTTCGGCAAAAGCTGCGGCCGGAGGCCCCCGGAGCCCCGCTCCGCCGCTGCAGAGGCCGCCGGGGCAGGAGGAGGGAGGAGGCCGTCGTCCCGCGAACCCCCCGGCGGAGGCCAGGTGGGGTGGGGACGCCCACGTCCCCGCCGAGAGAAAAGGGGGGGTGGGGGGGTGGTCGAAGGCAGAAGCCCCGCTTGCAGCGCGAAGCCACCTTGCTCCCGCCCCGCCCCGCCGAGACCGCGGGAAGCTGCTTACCTGTCTGCTTCTCCCGGATGCCGGCCGCCATTTTCCTGCCCCACCAGCCCGGCCGCGGAGCCCCGCCCCCCGCCGCGTACGCAGCCGCCGGACGACGTGGCGGCGCGCGAGGGGCAGGAGGCGGCCCCACACCCAGCCCCGCTTCCTGAGGGAGCGGTAATTAGCAAACTGGAGATCGATTTAAATTTTTTTTCCCCAGCTGAGAACAAAAGTAGTTAGAGATCTTTCAGACAATAGGGGAGTGCTCCTGCCCACACACCCCACACACCCCCCGAGCAAAAAGGCCCATTAAAGTTTTTGCTCCACTCTCAGGCTGAAATTTCAAGAAGGTAACTGAAGCACCCCCTGGTAAAGAGCTTAAATGCAACCAGGGCAGCTCTGAGGTGCTTAGTTTACACGAAAAGGACAGATGTTGCAAAACCAGGCAGCTAGTTGCAAATAAAGTCATCAGGTTTTAGTGAGTTATTGAAAACAGTAGAAGTTTGCTTGTGTCTGTCTCGGGCAGCCTTCCTCCGGCTCTCCATACCTTTGCAACTGTGTCCGTAAAAATCCTACAGCCTAGAGTGGCTCACCCGCCCAAATTCAGTTTTGGATACAAAGGTATCTGGCTAAACATGCTGCAGATGTATGTAAAGGTGGATGCAAGTACGTAAATGAAGCGACAGAAAACAGTAGTAACACTTCTAAGAGCTAAAACCCATTAAACCACCAAAATAAAAGAACTGAAAAAAGTTACATATTTATTCCAACAGAAATTTAACCCTTTATTGCACTTTGAACATATACATGACAGTTATTCCCCTATTTCAACTCTGATGCTACACCTGTCAACAACATTACTTGAAGATGCAACACTGCAGGCACTGATCCTGCACTTCAAGTTAAAGCTAAAAGTATTTACAAAGTTGTAATTTCTTATGTAATACTCTAATTACCATAAGTTTTAAAAGAACATTATTTATGCAATACAAAATCAGAGTGTTGCATTTTTTTTTTTTTTTACAAACATTAGTATTTGGACAATCTTCTGTATAGATATGATTTAACATTTCAGAAGTTTTGCATTTTAATTTCTTGTATCCAACTAGAAATTCCCTTAAATAAAAAACAGTAAAGCTTGAGCTTTAGAATGCTTTACCATATAATACAGAATCGAGATAAACTTTAAAAGCATGTTTTGTAGTCTCCAGAGTTGCATTTCCTTCTATTTGAATGATAATTTTTTGATACTATTTTCCAAATGCACATGCTGAATGTGTCAAATAATGACTCTGCTCTACATTTTAAATACACCTCTCAAAATCCTCAAGTCTTCCAATCACAAGACTGAACATCTTAATGAAAGCTGCAGCACACGATTAAGATCTTAAAGATAAACTGATATTAATCACTTCTGACCATATTTCACTCATAAACCAGTTAAAAATACCAACATCTTCTTCTAGTAAGCATCCTTTGCACGGGTGAAAGCAAGTCACAGAAATTTCTTATCCCTTCATCTTTCAGGCATCTAAAATACTTGAGGGTTTGTTTTGTTTTTGTTTTTTCTTTTTTTAAAGTTATATGTGCTTTATTAGACTATACTAACCCCACTAATATTAATCTATTGTCTACTAGCAAATGATCACTCTGTAAAGTAAATAGTTTATTTGATGTGCTAATTCCAGATGGAAGCTTAGGGTTTGATGCAGAAATTGAGGGGTTAAGTTCTTTGGCTAAACAGTCAAAGAGGACTGCACTAGTACTACTGTGGGCCTGACAAATCTTATAAAAGCTGTACCTTCTATGAAAATATCTGATACACAACAGCTTGTGTCTATGCAATTAATCTCCTTGTGTTACAGAAATACTGAAAGTAAGCAACTTCTCTAATTTCCAGATGTGCCTCAACTTAAAAGTTTATGTACAATGAAAACTACCTGATAATATTGCACTTCAGGGACCTGCTACAGCAATTAAAAACCCAATGGTGATTATAGCTACAGATATTGCTGTTTAAGGTTTCTAAACAAGAGAGACCTTTCTGTGTTTCGATGGACTGGCAGACAGCTTCTTCAATGGAATTTTAATGAACAGGTAGAATAAATATAAAATTGGTCTATGTAAATAAATGCTGAAGATAAGCAGAAGAGAAGAAATTTCTCTCCATAGTAGCACTGACGGATGCAACTTGAATATATCAAGGATTATGTTAGAATGTCTAGATAGAGCTGTTCAAACCAACAAGGAAGGAAAGACAACTTGTCCTGAATGTGTACACATCACTACTAGAAAATGGGAACAATCTGTAAGAATAATCTTTTCAAGCAATATTAGAGACTAGAGGATTTTATGAATTCCATGTTTTGATATAGCATTGTATAGCAGGTAGTTCTAAAGTTAACATTTCTTACAGCTGACAAATAGCTTAGTTCTACCTTTATCTAAAACCTATCAATTGCTGAATTCAAAACTAATAAACAACAAAAGGTGTGAACCCTATTTTTATCTCTGATACTTTTTGAAGCATTATATTCACATTACCTTACTATTTCTTTCTCCACTGAAGGTTTAAAAATGCAGTTTATTTTGTTCCAAGTTCTAAACCATTTCCCTTGCCATTGCAGGTACCAGAAGTCCAAGGACTGTCCTTTAAAATTATTCACACACTGCTTGCTACTGCCCATACAGAAAAGTAACGTAGTATTACAGAAGAAATCTATCTAGGCAAAAAACCCCCGAATACTGCACTGGGTAGACCACTAATTTTTAAAATATAATACTCTATCTGCAGGAAATTTCTTCCTATATTTTAAGAATATGAACATGCAATATGAATCTTTATTATGCAAATTTGCAACAAGCCACCTTCCTTATAATGGTAACGGGCCATTCTGAAGGGTAAGAATATAAAGAAGTTATTGGCAGTCTGATGTTCAAAAATGATGCAAAGACATCAAAAACATGGAATATTATTGGAGAAAAATAATCAGAAGAGAATGAGAAAATGCTCAGTATATAAATTAAGTCAAATGTCATTCTCCAAGAGCTCATGCATTTATTTTAAAGGGGACTTTAATATGGCTTTTGGCTATGAACCAGAAAAACATCACTAACCCTGTCTTAATTTCAATTATTCTTAAATTTCTAGTGACAGGACTTTGATGAGATTAGATTGTTTTATGTATTTGTAAGTGAGAAATGCCTGACCTAAGCCTTACAATAACGTACTTAGAGACTTTGAAATTAAAAAAAACCAAAACCACAGAACAGTGGCATACATGCTTTTGTCACCCAGTGATAGAAATAGCTCTGTATTAAATAAGATTAGCAACTCTCCCAAGATCAAGAGAAGCTGTAGGAGCTTAATATTTCAAAATACCTGCATATTATTAAATGAACCATGTAATTTACATACCCACCTGTCTTTGTCTTTAATCCCTTATGGCATGGTCTCAAATTTAGCAAGTCTTGTATGCCACTCCCACAGTTCTTGAGTTGCAGTACACTGCTATGCAATTAGCATTTACTAATACAATTTGTTCATTAGAGAGATACTCGCAAAGAACCATAACTAGAACCTGAAACCAGGTAACGATTTTTTTTTTTGAAGCACCTATCTATCTATAATTTAACTGTGGATGAACTTGCTTGCTAAGGCATTCAAAATTAAAGCAATCCTGCTTGTATTTTCAATTAAAACCAAGCAATATTGATTTTAAAAGTATATGATTACTTTTCAGTATTTTGAAAAATGTGGATATATATGGATATATACACATATCTATCTATATATAGATCTATAGTATAAACTATGTTTGGGACACAGTATAGGTAGGCAAACTGACGGGGGGAAATACTATTTTCAAAAGAGAGGCTGCATATATGTAAAAAACCTGTACTTACATATCTTTTTAAGTTTCATAGTTTTGATATTAGTAACATTAAAGTGTTACCATGTAGGAATTTCACTACTTATCTTTTATGACTTAATGGTATTTATACAAATACTGCAGAATTGAAATATATTTCATATGGTTGAAGTTGCTCAGAATGAACATACATGTGAACTGGGAGAGTTTAGACTAAAAGCTAGAAAGTGTCAGGCACTGACAAGCTTAATGGTAAACTGCCTTTAGTTTAACAAATAGTTTTAATGAATATTCCTATGAAAATACTGACTTGTATGGCAGATGAAGTGACATGTTCTAATGAGCTACAAATTCTTATACTTTCATAATCAACAAGTCTAACTCATATTTCATTCCAAAAGACCACTTCTTGTTGCATATTCAAGATTTACTTCTAGGCTTTACTATTTTGGCTATATGTAGAATTAAAAACTAATGTATAACAGTACAACGCAGAAATGTGTGCAAATGTCAAAGATTTTGTTTAACAACAGAAACACAAGTTCAACCAGATTTTGTTCTTGCACCTTAGTATTTTGCCTTGATTTTCTCCAGACCTTAATTATATTTTAACACACTAACCACAATGACCTCAAAACTCCACATTTCTTAGCTTTTGTAGGTTTGTATGAATCATCAAAACTTAAATGAATCATCAATATAAAAATAATTACTGAAAAATATACATGGAACAACTGAAGAACTGCATCAATTTTACTGGAGAGAAAGCTTTACAGCAGTTATCTTCCAAAATGTACCTGATCTGAGTTTGATAAATAAGTTACTGAAGTATGTAACACAATCAACATACTTACCTATGGGAAATAGCTAGAATATTACAGAGTTTGGTAACATTTCCTGTCTACAGCAAAAGCAGACATTTAAAGTACTTCTGCAAGAGACTGCTGACTCTTAAAACCAACTTCAAACTGAAAGATAATTCAACAGATAAAGTGTATTTTCATTTGAAAATTGTTTTCCATCTTACAAAATTACTACTTTTAGCATACCTTTGGGGGAAAAATGGGAAAAGGCTGAGAGCATGCTGTCTAAGAATACAGTAGCAATTTGCAAGCAGATGCTCCTGCAGAAAATGGAAGTTTCCAACATCCAGTTTAGTAGCAAAAATATTTATTCTCTTTCAACTCTTAGTGTGTTTCTGATGGCGAACTCCATTTTTTTTTTAAACTGTTCATACGTCCTTGTTATAGGAAGCTCTAAGCAATTAAGGAGTCTCTTTCCAACAGGGTAACTTATATGCAAAAATTTAATAGTAGGTTCAGGATCAAAACCAATGGGCGGTATAGAAAAAGAACCTGTTACGAAGAGCAGAATATCCTCCAATGTCACTACAGACTCCCCACCTAAAAAAAATAGGATTAGATTGTATCATTTATTGCCTATTATCCATAAACCATTATCCTGCATGTTAAGTGTTAGAGGGAAAAAACCCCCCGAAATCAAGAAACTCCAGATCAATATGCAGAGTAAGAAAAATTTTATCAAGAAAAACCTAATTAGGTTAGTTCTGAAAAAATTTTAGGTGAATATAAAAAAAACCTCTTCTGCAAGAAGAGGCTGCTGTTTTCTATCTTTGAGACACACACTACTTAAGTTCACAGCAAAGCTGCAGAGGGGATTAAAGGATTTTTCTGTACCATTTAGGTGGTTGTTTTGTTAAAAAAAAAAAAAAAAAACAAACCAAAACTCACAGGAGTTCTAGTACCAATCTTTCAGATGTTTACCCCTAAAGTTTGATTATGATTGGGCAACAGTTTCAGAAATTATGATTAGTAAGGAAGAGGGGGGAAAAAGGAACTGACAGGGACCTCAAATCCTCCATTTATTTACCTCACTGAACTCTAAAACCCAAACCCTGTATGTATACCAGCAGAAAAATACACTGAACAGGGAAGGAATTAAAAAAAAAAAAACAACCCAAAACACTTACTTTCCACATCTTGCAAATAACCCATCCAAAATTCAGCACCTTCACCTTTATTTACATTTGATGAGGAATGGATTGTAAAGAGATCACAAATGGTTTCTGCTGAAAGTCTTTCAGGTTTGTGGCATAATATACTAGAGAATGCATCCGGATACATTTGCATCTTCTCTAGCACACCAAGAGTTTTCAAGCCTTGCCTAAAACTAGAAGGGGAAAAAAAATAAAAAGCGAGCATGCATCAGAAAGCCAGTAGGTAACCAATTGCACTTTGCATTTTACAAAGGTTTAAGACTGGCCATAATAAAGTTTCCCCAACTACAGTCTCCAAGTCTTGTCAATAAGGTGTACATAGTAGTCCCATTTTATTTTATTCTTGGAAAATGTGTTTAATTCTCATTTTAACAATCTATGTGTTTCTGCAGAGCTTTAGGCAGATGAAAAAATACCACTGATATGCAGAAGTTAACTATTTCCTGATACTTGACTGCATGAGCATGGTTTACTTTTAATTTTTATGTAAGAACATACTGAATTTCCTTCTTACAAATATCCCTTTAGAAAACAAGTTTAAATTCCTTGTCCTAGGCAAAATAAGATGTCTTAAAAAGATAGCCTTCACTTGGCTTCCACAGTCTATATGTGTTTACATGCTGTTATTTCTCCCTGTAGGAATGCCGATAACAGTATCCTGGGCTACATTAAGAATTATGGTGCCAGGTCAGGGGAGGTGATCCTTTCCCTCTGCTCAGCACTAGTAACACTTGGACTGCTGTGTCCAGTTCTGGGCTACCCAATACAAGAGATAAGGACACACTGGAGAGCGCTCAACTGAGGGCCACTGGGATGATTAAGGAATTGGAGCATAACACTAGGAGAAGAAGCTGAGAGAGCTGGGACTGTTCAGCCTCAACAAGAGAAAGCTCAGGTGGAATCTCAATGTGTATAAGTATTTGAAAGGAGTGTGCAATGAAGGCGGAATTAGGCTCTTTCCACCAGTGCCAGAATCAGAAGCAGTGGGCACACACTGAAACATAGGAGATTCCCTCTGAACATGAGGAAACACTTTTTTACTGTGAGGGTGACAGTAACTGGCACAGCTTGCCTGAAGAGGTTGTAGAGTCTCCACCCTTGGAGATATTCAAAAGCTGGCTAGACAGTGTCCTAGACAACTGGTTCTAGGTAGGCTGGCTTGAGCAGGGGGTGGTGGACAAAATGACTTCCAGAAGTCCCTTCCAACCTACACACTAACCTGATACTGTGGTGGTTTTTTTCTGTTGTGTTTTTTTGTTTTTTTTTTTTTTTTTTTTTTAAAACCACAGCTCTGCAGGTTGAAAAAGATTTCACTACTTGCTGTGTACCGGATAAGAACATAAGCAACTGGCTTTACAATTTAATCACTATGTTAAATCAGATTTAAGTTTCACTTGTTTACTTATCATTTCTTAATTTTGATAGGCTGAATCAGTAAGATACAGAACAAACGTTGGAAATGTACAGTCAGCGGTGTAGAACATTAACAACTAAAATGACCCACTCTTACTCTCAGTCCTTGATATTGACAAGCAAATTCTTGGTCTATTCACTTTTGCACACTTTAAGACCAGCTCCAAAAATGCACAAACCCCACATTTTCCCATAAACAAATAGGCTACTTACTACCTTTCACTTTAACTGACTAGTTTTAGAATATGATAGATTGGTCAAATATGCCAGAGGGCCTTGACTGAAAGACTAATTACTTTTAACTTTGTTAAAATCCTCACATTCAAAATTAGTTTTCATAGCTTTTGGATATTCAGTTGATTCAAATTTGTCAAAGATAACACCAGAAATATGTTACATATAAACCCAGCTATACTTGTTGGAAAAATTAGCATCCAATGCCCTCTTACTGAGCAGATGAAGAATGCAAATTGGAAGTAAGGTCAGAGACCAAGCAAAAAATAGTCAACAGCTGCAACTTCCCCAGCTATTTGAAGTCATCACTACCTCATGTAAACACCAATACAATGCTTACATTTTAAGTAGGCCAACTTAGACTTGTGCACATCGTTGCCCTCCCAATAGCACACATGAACTCCCTAATTAGAACTCTGGAAAGCTCATTTAAATTCTAAACATATGTTTAACAGTTCTCAAATTTAAAGATTCTAAATTCAAGTAATTCTGAATTAAAAATTAACATAAACTAGGGAAATATTTAGTGCAAAGGTCTTTGTCATGCTATAGACTAAAACTGTGCATCTGCCCTCTTCATAAGGTTGAAAAAGGAATATGACCAAGGAAAAGTGGAACAGAACAGATATGTAGGAGAAATAATTTCAGTTTTTCAGTTTAACTAACTAGTTAACAGTTGCTACTTAATCCACTGAAAATTACATTACATTTTTCTGGTTTAAATGGAGAATAAGTAAGAACATGTGAAAGTTAGTTTTAGTAACATATTTAGTATTTCAGTGAGGAAAACAACCCAGCAAGTTTGAAAGCTCAAACAAAACAAACCTTTCTAAGGGTGAAATAATTCTCTTGATTACATGATGGAACAATATGTCATTCACCAGCATATTCTTATCACACAAAGCTGTTATAGGTCTCAAGCATCCAGCAGCAGCAAGGAATTCGTAACACTCATGTATTGCAGACTGTAGGCTGGACAGACTAGTTGCATATTTTATCTGTATCAGAAGATAAAAGTTAGGAATTTGTTTATTACGTGCATGTGTGTGTGTATATATATGTATATATATATATAAAATAAGCTTCTTTATTTGAACTAAAGTTATATTCAATAAGCCCTTTATCTCCAAATATAGTATTGAACAAGAATTTGCCAGTAAATTTAGTTTTATTTACCATTTTTATTGTTTGTGCTACATCAACATCACCAACATCTTCCAGTGCTGGCTTCACGTTCTCTGGACCATAAACAAGACAATTGAACAGTGTTTTGGAAAAGAAACCAGGAGATGGGCCACCGTGAACCAGAGAAACTGCAATCATTTTACCAGCTTCAAAATAAAGATTCTCTTTTAAAGCTGCAATTAAAAAAAAAAAAAAAGCATACAAGTCATTTGTGAACCTCATTTTTTTTTTTAATAGAAAAATCTCATAATGCAATTCCTTCTTACATTAGGAGATGCAACAAATGAGGTTTGCCATCTCCTGCTGGTTGAAACAATAGGACCAGTACTTTTTACATGGGAGTACCACATTCTTTTAGTCCAACTATTCAGCTGCTATCAAGGTTTTGGAGGAGATGTAACTTCCTCTTCCACTTTGTACTCAATGCACATTTAATTCTGAAGCGTAAGAACTCAAAAGAAGCTAACTTTGCGTCTTTAGGGAGCATGTTAGCACAGATAATGTTCTAGAAATTTGAGGAAAGAAAAATAAGTAACAAAGTGAGTCAGGAAGAAAGAAGTTCACTTGCAGAGAACAAATACATTAATGAAAAAGTTCCAAGTCTAATTATATGCTGTATTTTTCCTTGTTTGTCATCAGCTTTTCCAACGTAACTGAATTTTTATTCTGTTATTACAAATCTGCACCCCATCTCCCTTTAGAATTGAAAAGAAAAAAAAAATTAAAAACCAATTTCTATCCATCACAACAACTGTGAACTAACAATCATACTGGCTGAAGTTTTAAAAACCTTTCAAGTTACACAGTTTTTAATGCATTTTTGAACAAAGAATTTAATTACCTTGAAAATCAAGGGACAAGTTCTTTGCAGAAGAGCCCTCAAACAATGATGAATTCTGCAGGTGAAGCATTAATAATTGGAAGAAATGGTGTTTTGATGCAGCCGAAGTATTGGTCTTTGATTTATTTTTGCAGTTTGTGAACTTTATTTCTATGGTGTTTGTAGGACTGAAGTTGCGCTGTCTAAATCCTTTTAAAGCACTATTCCAGATACTTTCTGCATTGATGTTAAGCCTCGTAGTTTTTGTATTAACTTGTAGTTTTAACTCCTTCAGTACATTAGAAGCTTCCCTTCTTTGCTTTCTTAAATGCCTACAAGAAAATTGAATGTATTTTCAGATGAAATCTATGATTCATAATTAATGACAGTTATACAGGAAACATCCTAAAAATCTATTACGAAAAACACCTCTTTGAACACTTTGGTACATTTAGGTATTGTCTAAATTACACCAGTAAAATATTTGGTATAGATTTTAACTCTGTAGCAGCAAATTTTAAAGGAACTCAAAGAACTAAAAAAAAAAAAAAAAAGAGGTAGAAATCATTACCTTGGCATAAAATGAAGTTATTTTCTTAATTCAATTACACCAGCATAGCGCCAAACAATTATCACACCATCATTCTACATGCGAACCACGTGAAACAAGTGAGAAGTTGAAGAAGAACTTACCATGTCTGTTAGAGACGTTTTGCAACCAAATTAGAATACACTGTCAACTATTCACTAATATTTAATCTGTCACTATAATCAAAAATACATTTGAGTAGGGAGAAATGTTGTAGTTCTCATTTAAAAAAAAAGACGACCAGTCCAAAATAAGACTTCTTTGTTTTCTACCTTGCAACCAAAATTATTTCAAATACCCTATCTGCTAGAAGTAACTAATTCCCTCCTCAGAATTTTTAGCACCTCTTACAGGTAGAATTCTTATTTTAAAGTACTCACAACAAGAGAAAGAATTTTGTATCCTTCAACTAAATATTCTATATTAAAACATGTTCTTTTGCAACTGATTTTAGCATAATCATGAGTTATGGTACAAAAGCAAAAACATTGAAAGTTTAGGACATGTCTAATCTGAAGAAGTACTTAGGATTCTTTTTATTCCTCCTTTTCTAAAGAACAGCTTGCCAGGCTTCAGTAAGGAAAAATAGAGGTTTTGATCCCTGCACTACCTAACCTAAAAATTCTCAGTATCATTCTTTTCTCCTTACTCCCTTCTAGCATTTTGAAACAGCAGAAGCCTTCATCAGATGACTTCAGCTCTAGCTCTTCAGTGTACTTATTCAGTTTTTCCAGTAAGTATATACACACACACAAATATATATATAGCCACTATATATATATACACACACACAGACACACACCGTGTTCCGTAGGAAATATGGTATAAATCTATGTGCTAAATCACTCTTCAACATAAGAATAGAATAAATTACTTTTTCCTCAAGCACCAGCTCCTGTTAGACATCAGTGGAGATAAGGACATCGTCACTCTGTTGGATGCTGAAAGTTCTAGGTGCGAGCAGGGTGACAAGTTGTTCTGGCACATTATCTTTGGTGATCTAGAAGCCAAACCAGTATTTTAAGGAGATACAACTGAAGAATACATAAACACTTCTTATTTGAAGGTAGCAATATAATTTCCCCCCTATTTCAGTAGGGAGTCTCATTTGTATGTTCATTTACATGAAGACCATCAGTGCCTGAACTACAATTTTAAAAATAATAATTCAGTATGTTATTATGTGGTAGTTTTAGGATCTGTTTTTAGTTGCATCCCAGATGTGAGATGGAAGTCCTGACTGACACAATGAATAAAAACTGAAAGTATTAGTTTTTACAGACTTGAAAAGTTTTTACTACAGCGGAGGAAAACATTATTTATATAAATATCTCTCTAAGCTAGATTTCTAGTGCACTATTAATCTGGAAAAAAAAATACAGATAAGCAACCTTAGCTTTAAGTTTTGCCATTTATACATCTGAAGTTACCTCTAAATTTTTAGGATTCCTTTTATAAGGATCTATTTTTAATGAAACTAAAAAGTGGTTTACATTCCACTAAATGCAAATAATAGCAAATTTGCTGAGTTCACTGCTTACTCAGTAAACTTCAATCACTAAACTTCACTGCAATTTTATTCAATTTGTAATTTAGTGTAAGAAGTTTCTCCTACGGAATAAGCCATCATCTCCTCATGTTTAAATACTATTTTATGTTAGAATCAGTTTCTGCTTGAAAACAGAAAATTACGCACTGGAGAAGAAAACTGCATTGAGATCCAGATGACTGCCGAGGGCGCTTTGGAGATGGCTCTTCCAGCAAACAAGCTGTCCCATTTACCTTTTCGGAGGTAGCCAAAGAATGCTTTTTCTGTTTGCTATAGTTCCCTGTATGATTAAATTATATTAACATAGTGAATTTGCTCACTGTAAAATACATAGTAATAAAATTTATCATTTTAAGAAGTCACTATCACATCCATAACTTTACCTGATTTTGCAAAGATACTTCTGCATTCCATGCACTCCCAGTTTTGCTCCCATGACTTCATAGATGAACAGGCCAAATGAGTTCCACGGGAGCCACAACACTGACAACGCTTTATTTCCCATTTACTAAAATTAAAAACTTATGAATTTAGAATTAGACAGAAAAATTAGGCTAGTTAAACAGTGAGTGTAATCTAGACACTAAATTAAAAAAGCCTAATTTTTATCAGCCTGATAAGATTGTATATAATCAAAGGGAACTTTCTTCAGACAAGACGTACTCACAATTCCTGTCTGTACTCACAATTCCTGTCCGCGACAAAGGGGAAAAAAAAAACCACCCACATTCCAGCACCTTGTACTGGAAGTCAGTAGCCTGCAGCTGATATCTTCTCATGTTGCTAGCCAGCAACATCCTCTGTATTTTATGGGTATCCACCATTCAGCTTTTCCAAATGGTATTTTTTTTCAAGGAGCCTATCTTATCATTCTTACACATTCCGAATAAGACTCTTCATTAGTTACAGTGTTTAAGTATCTGTTAGGTCGTTGTCTAGACTTCTTCAATTTTGCTTAAACATATAATGGAACAATGTGACATAGTAGTTCAAATATTGGAAGCCTAAGGTACAACTCTTAAAGGCAACGTAAATCCTGAGGTGCACACACACCATGAATGAACCAAGCAGTGTTTGGTCCAGTCTGAACAAAGAAAAGTTAATGTCTACAGTGAGTGACCTACCACAGTAATACAGAAACAAGTCTTCAAAGTAGAGGCTTGGAGTATACTCATGCCCATGGAAGACAAATTTCAGAAGCACACAAATAAACTTGTTAAAATTCAAGCAAGTTGTAGAGCAGAATAAAGCCTTTTGCATGATCACTCAAGCCTCTCATTAAGCTATCAGCAATATTGTAGCTTCCACTTGCATTCAGGATAGATTGACTTTAGACAACTAGTTAAATTTTCAGCTACGTCTAGTACACTAATGAATTTATTGTAAAGGTGTTAAGTATTCTAAACATTATTAAATTGTTGAATTAAGCTTTGAATGAAAGAAACATTAGTTTAGGTACATGCTATTCTATGTGTTATGGGGATGTACAAACTCTATTTCAGCTCCATATCACATGAGAACAAGGACAAGATAACTGATAATCAATTGGTTTGATTTTCTTAGCTTTTACAACCTGATTAAATCAGAGAAAACTAGTACTGAAGTATTTATTATTATAGGGAGTAAGCCTATAATAATAGGCCAAAATTTTATTTGAACTTAGACGTTAAAACTTGTTGCTGAAAAGTATTTAAACATTTAAATACAGAAAAAAACCCAAACAAACCAAACACCCCAAAGAACTATCCCATCCTAGGTTATAACTTCCTGAAAAAGTGTCATACCTATCAGGTTCATGATAGTCTCTTCCTTTCTTGCAGAGACATCTTTTAATGTCACAGTGTTGATAACATTGCAGTAGTTCTTGATATGCATTCTCTTCAAGTTCCCAAGATGCATCCCTATAAGCAAGACAGAAGATGTGTTATTACAGCTGTATTTCTGACAGTTTAAATGGGCTACTCTGTCTTTGGAAAATATATATATGATAACCACATGAAGATATTTCAATCACGTAACATTCTAGACAACAGCTAGACAACTGAGAGGGGGAAGAAAAAAATCTAGGAACAAAAGTACACAGACATTTTCTTCTGTACAGTTACTTTGATTAAAGTATATATTATTTTTCGTATGACCTCAGTGCATGTTTGCTCTGTTTCGTATTATTCTGCTTTCTCTCTCACAACAGGCATGGATATTTGCTTTGGCAGTCTAATCAAGTTACCACTGAAAATGGTCTCACGAAAAGTAACTCAGAATTTTCCAGGCCAGTATGGCAAAGATCATCAAGTATTTTGACTCTTCTTTCTCTCCAAAAATCTTGAGCTTCTGTCTCCAGAGGGAAATCTCTGAAGAGACTAATAGTTAATTAAAAAATACTACTTCTAACAAAGAAACATCATTCTGATCGCTTTCTGTCTTATTCTGGACCCCATCAAATGGTGGAAACTTATGAAAAACTATTCAGAATTTTAGAAGCAGTTGTTATACTAAACATATCCTTAGCAATCCCTTGGGAGAAGATGGATGCTGTATGGCTGAGTAATCAGTCGATTATAATACTGTCTGGACAGAAATTCAGATAATTTAAAATCTTGGGCACAGAAAATACACTTAACCACCTCTACATTAATGTGAAATTCCTGTATTTAAGTGTTTTGATCTTTTAAATAGGTCCCTGTTGATTCATGGCATTAAAAATTACTTTTCAGGGCTTCCTGCTTTAGGTTTAACATTATTAATTTAGCCTTGGACAATTTTTATGCATAAATAAAAGGAAACAGGCTACTCCTTACCAAACCAAACAACTCCATTGAAGGCAGAACTGAGGTTTCACACATCAATACATGCAGTTCCATAGAATAAATAAAAAATGCTTTTAATATCCTACCAAAGTTTTTACAGAAGCGTGATTATTTACAAAATTACTTACTTTTCTGGTATGTGTATGCCCATTCTTAACATTTCTTTCTGAAATTCGTCCTTGTTATTACATACTGTGCACCTGAAGAAAAATATCCCAGCACTCAAAGCTTGATACTGTGTCAAGAAAAAGAAGCACAGCAAAAACCCAAACCAATTATTGAGTTACTATCAACCTTAGGATGCCAATAAATAATGACTTAATACCTATAACCATTACATTCATTGATACTGATCTCACATGGATGTTAAAGCTGACATCAATCACATCACTTAACATTGAAGCAAATGGTGAGCATTTTCTCTTCCTTTAAAGGACAAGAGCTCACATGCTAGAATCAGGTTCACAAACAAAAGCACAATCCTTTTCAGTCAATCTCTCCACATCTAGAATGAGCTTACAGCTTTTTCTAGCTCTGAACTTAGGCAAAGAGAACTGGTAACTGACATTTTTGGCATTTAGATACATAATGATTTGTAAGGTGGAAACTACCTAGGTTAGACTTCAGTTCCTAAAAAGAACTAAAGGCATTAAGTATATCACACATGCAGGAAGATTGGGGGTGGGGGAAACTAATAGCTTAAAAAAAAAAGACACTAGTTGCCAAAACACATTTTAGCACTGTCCTTCAAACCTAGCGTATTTCCATACCTACTGCCTACTTAAAATTCCGTAAAATTTTTAGGGTTAAGAAACTGTTCTATTGTTTTAAACACAACAGAAATGTGATCTATGTGGATGTAATGAGAAAAGGGAGAACCTGTGTTACCTGCAAGCATTCTCGATGAAACCAAGCGTTTTTACAGCAAGGACTTTTCAATACAGTGTACAGTGGAAGCCGTTCAACCAAATCCAGGCATATTGTACACTGTGAAGTTCCTCTAGATTCTTTATCCAGAAACTTTTGGACTGGTTTATGTTCCCAACAGTAAGATCTAAAAATAATAATTTAAGGTTCCCTTATCAAAACACCTTTGTCATAAAATTTGAAGATAACAAAATGACTTCCCGATTACATCTGTTTTTCATGAATAAACACTGTGCAACAACAAGCTAAAAAAGGCAGACACGTACTGGTTTTGGCTGGGATAGAGTCAATTTTCTTCATAGTAGCTTGTATGGTGCTATGTTTTGGATTTGTGAAGAAAACAGTGTTGATAACACAGGGATGTTTTAGTTACTGCTGAGCAGTGCTTATATATCATCAAGGCCTTTTCCATTTCTCACCACACCAGCAAGCGGGCTGGGGGTGCACAAGGAAGTGGGAGGGGACACAGCTGGGACAACTGGCCCCAGCTGACCAAAGTGATATTCCACACCATGATGTCAAGCTCAGCAAGAAAACTGGGGGAAGAAGGAGGAAGTTTGGAGTTATGGCATTTGTCTTCCCAAGTAACTGTTACCCGTGATGAAGCCTTGCTTTCCTGGAAATAGCTGAACATCTGGACTGCTGATGAGAAGCAGTAAATTCCTTATTTTGCTCTGCTTGCACATGCAGCTTTTGATTTACTTATTAAACTGTCTTTATCTCAACCCGAGTTTTCTCACTGTTACCCTTCTGATTCTCTCCCCATCCCACTGCAGGTAGTGAACAAGTGGCTATGTGGTGCTCTGCTGCCTATCAGGGTTAAACTACAACACACGTGTAAACAATTATGTATCTAACAGAGCAAGTAAACAGAACAATAGTAAGGAAGATGCGTATTGCCAACTGATGCTCTGTAAATTAGAGATCATATACCCACCGCCATCCCCCCCCACCTCAAAACTTCTTTTGGTCCAAATAATGCATTTCCTGTCCTCAGAACCTCAAGTTCTTCCTGTATTTCAACGTCACCATGATGTCAGAGGAGCAATTTTGAATCTGCATATTGATTCTGCAGAGTCTAGGTAGCATGATAAATTTTATAATTTATAATATTTTCAAAGAAATAAGACAGCCAACAAATACAGCTGTAGAAGAAACCTTTCTGAAAATGCATTAGTCTTACATGTACTGGACTTCGCAGAAGTTGTTTATTTGAGAAGTTGAAGTGCCTGCCAGACTTCAATCCACCCACCCTGCAAACTCAGCTCACAGTTGACAGAATACAGCTGTTCTCAAATGCACTAACGAGTATTTTGACTACATCCAAGATGCTGGATAGGTGATAGTAAAAGAAAATAAGATGTTTAGACATTTTATATTAAACCCATTTATCCTGCAGTCCACCTCTAATAAGATCTAGAAGTCTCGAGCTTTGAAACACAACGGAATGGCATACAGTGTATTTTGGCTGCTGAGAGAGATAGGCAGCTAACCCATTGCCATTTCAATAAAGGCACGAGGTAGACAGACAAAAGACCAAACACAAACACTCTGCAGTTTATTTCAGAGTTTAGGATTTAATGCTCAATTTTATAAATAATTTAACTACTTGTAGAAGCATTAAATGATATCTTTAGAAGCGTCAAGAATTTAGTTTATAGGTGCTAGGTAAGCAATATAACTGCTTGGCCTTCATGTTTTCCACAAATCAGGTATTTTTTTAGATAATCCACATACCCTTTATAATTAACAGCCTATGCAATGACAACCCATTAAAAAAAAAGAAAATAGATCTCCTCCTGTATAAATATAATGAATTGAAAATGGAAAAGCAACAAAACCCCAGAACTCACCTGAATTCTTCCATGAACTGGAAAATACACTCCTTTTGTATCCCGCAAGGAAAATGGTAGCTTCGTTTGCATTTGGGAGCTACACATCCAATTGAAGCACCCTTTTTCTTACAGATATTACATTTCTAAAAATAATTTGGTTTAGAAATTGGTTTTAGAAATAACAGACTATTAGCATCTAAAGTCCAAGTAAAATAACTGGAGTTAAACCAGTAGAAAAATTATGAAGTGTGTAACAAAAACCACCAGCCAATAGATTGTAACTGTGAAAAGACTACTGTTTCAGCTCTATTTCAAAGAATAAAGATACATAGTTATTTCAGACTTTGATTATGTATTGTTTTAGATGCATGTTGACTTGTGACACAAGCCAAAATACAACTTATTTTACCAGTACCTATACTTTAGTCGCATCTATAAAATTACATAATGGAAGTTTGAGGCTCAGCATAATGTCACGAGGCATTATGCATGTGTAATTTGCTCTTATTCATTTATCTGCAACATATCCAGGAAATAAAAATTTTAGCAAATTTCTGCAGGTTTTATTGCCCCTTGTGGCTTCTACAAACACAATATACTTGTTACTTAAATCTAAGATTCAGATGCTTGAATGGGGTCAGCACATTTTTCATTAGACCAAAAAAAAAAACCCAACCCACAGGTGATGCTAAGAGCACTCAGAAGTTTTTTTCCCCTTGTAAATACCAAAGGCTTCATTCTTACCAGTTTTGCAGCTCTATTTACTTCTTTTCTGATATCCTTGATTAAGAATCCATATACACCTTCACTTTCTTCCCCTCTCTGCCAAATGCCACTTGACATTAACTAAGAAAACAAATAAGTATTTTAAAGCATCCATCTGCCTAAAGAGTTCAAATTACCTATACTGCATTTGTCAAGTAAGAGAGAAGTTTAGTCTAACAGAACTTGTTTTTAATCACTAAAATATTTGCAAGACTGATTCAAAACATCTGTATATTTGTCTGATAAGACACAATAAGAAATAGTAACCAATAACATGAAAATAAATATTTTATAGCACCAAAGTCTTATATGATACTGTAGAGCACATGATGCTGTATTTTACCTTCTTTTCTTAAGTATATGGACTATTTAGATAATTGTCAAACAATTACTTGCAGCATATAAAGCTTCAGAGGAAGTAAAATTAAATTAATGTGAATGGCAATTGTGCTGTGGAGATAATGAAGCACAGTAGGAAGTATATGTACTGAAGTGTAAGCTAATGGGAAAAGTAATTCAATTCAGAAGACAATGAAATAAAACCAGAATCAAGTAACTAGGCAAGTCAGAAAAGCCTGATGAAAATGTATATAAAAGTTATTTAGTAAGGCAGTTACATCACAAACTTCAACAAAATAGTTTCACAACTGGATGCCTCCTATATTCTTTACGATCTCGTGTTTCAGTTCTCATTGTAGAATTTCAACACAGTACCATTTTCTAACTAGAGTTTTATCAATTTTAGTTGAATAAATGTAAAATTTTATACCAAAACCAGTTCAGAATATATTTTTTCCAATGTGAAACATTTGGTAAAGAAAAATGAAACTGCACCACTAACTGGCCTCTTTCTAGAACTCTTTTCTTATATAATATTCACTACATTTTAAGTTAAATCACAGGGGTTTGTTTGTTTTTTAAAAAATGCAGGGACAAAAACCTAAAAGACGGCAGCAGGAAGATCATCACAGTAAAATACCTTATAAATCATAAGGCTCTGTGGTGCAAGCATGCCCTTTCCTAGCTGTTCTGCTTCATCAGGAAAGGGATTTTTCTTACCATTTCATATGGCCTTATGTGTAAGACAAAATTATCACAAACAGACCTAAATTTCCTTCCAGCTGCATAAAATTAAGAAAAAAACCCCAATTCTATGTTTATGTGACTTCAGAAAACCTCTACTCTGTCTAGTCTTTAAAGTATTCAGTATCTAACCTATTAAATCATCAGCAAACAACACAATCTGTAAAGAACTGGTTGAGAAAACAAACAAACAAACCCCCCCAAATTGTTCCTGATGTTCTTGAGACCGTTTTTAAACTTGGGAAAAAATTTTGAACCGTGTTTATTAACAAACAAAATTAACCTGATTTTTTTTTTTTTAAGCAGTCATTATTTAAAGACCTGCAAAAATTTAGAATTTGGAAGATAGTTTAAGTGTACCTCTAAGAATATGAATCTTGGAAAGTGTCAAGTGTGATAATAAAAGATACTCAGCTGTAGTTTATATCCATAGTTTTGTTCAAATTATAAGCACTTGGTGATCTATTTTTATTTATCACTCAACAGTGATACTGTAACTGCATATGATCAGTAAAGTACATATTAAACTGAAAAGGACTATTTCTTAAGTGTTACAATGTCCTATGGAATATCGGAGAATAGTTCGCAGTCAGACAAGAACTAATGAGAAAAAAAAGACTATTTTTCTCTACTTTTTCCACAAAGGGTGGAATTTTCACATTCTAAATTTTGAAACTACTCTTATAGAAGCGAATATGTAGGTACGAACTGTTCCTTTGCTCTTAAGGAACAGTTGCTTTCATTGCTATGATAGGTTGGGAGAAATAACTAAGCAATTCATTTAAATGGATCATGAACAGAATTTAGCTTTGAATAAAGGCTTGTTGGGATTTATTTATTTCATCTACTGCACCTGACAAGCACAAGCCCTCAAGGCTACACATTAAAGCTGACATTTCAAGCTTTACAACAGAAAAAAGGTTACAACTGTTTGGACAGGTTATTAGTATTTAATACTTGTTGCCTCCCCTCCCCATCCCTTTTTTTCTGTTGTTACAACAGACAAGATTCAATACCACATACTTACCAAACAGTAATAATGAACTGTGAGACCATATTCCACATAGGTCCTTTTTTCTCCATACTTTTCAGGGCAGTCATCTGTCCGTCCACAGAGAACACAGACTAAAACACAGAATCATGTTTATAACCATAGTGAACATACTAGAATTACTGTGAATCAGCTACGCAGCAGAAACTTTCATCTCTTTTAATCACATGCATCTTGAAATAGATTACTAGATAAAGGAAAGTCCCTCTCTCCTTAATGTTGAATTCCATAGTAAATACAGAAGAGGGTCCTATTTGTTCCTTCTCTAGTTCCTAAAAACAAAATACTTCACCAGTTCCACCTGCCTGCTGATTCAGGAGAGGGCTACCACCCAAACTAAACTCACAAGCCAATCATGCTCCCAACTGAAATGTTCTTCCCAAAAGACTCTAACAATTATTAATTGGCCAACAATGTCCACATGCATGTGAAATGTCATCTAATTGTTTTTAGTACCATACATAAAGACATCACCATATCAGAATCCATGAAGCAACTTAACTGTTTCATCGTATACCTATGTGATAACCTTTATGAAAGCATATGAATGGGACCCTGACTGTATCAAATCACATTACCAGTGCTTTCAAAATGTATGCTAGTTTCAAAACTTTCAAGGATCTCTCAGACAACATTGGAGTCAACTAAAACCTCGAGGATTTCCCCATTTCTGCAGTTCCTAGCCCACTAACATACCTCCACAGACATTTAATATCTTCCCTTCAATTCTCAATAGATATACAACATATATTTTCAATATTCTGACATCAAGAACAGTCAAGAATAGTGATAAGAATAGAGGTACTGCTTCAACCTAAGAAAGTCTTGAATTATACACCTCAAACACAGTTGTATATGATATGGCAACTGAATTCCCAAGGTTACTTTCTTAAAACATCTGCAGGAAAGACTATTTTTAAATATTCCAGTTACACCAAACAAACCCAAGAAAGTTTATAACTTATTTCTTTTTCATTCCCCAAGACAAGTGGTTCCAACACAATTTGATTACTGAAAATCCACCTGTTCTTTGAACTCAAATAAAGCAAGTTATATTTGATACTCTATAAGCAGTCGAAAGGTTTCTGTAACTATTTAATAAAAACCTTACTTACATGGACTCTGAATGTCAAAGTTACTGTTTTCACTCATCCTGAGTTCTTATGGCTGTCATGAAAAAGACACAAGGTGTTAAATACATCTAGTGCATTAACAATGATCATTATATACTGCTTTTACATTTTATTTTAAATTGAAAAAAACCCCAAACTCAGTAAAGTAAAAATGGGATCAAGAGCAGAACAATATTATAATTCAAGTGTTATTGTGAGAGATAGGAGCTCAGGAAGCAGGATGCAACTGTTCAGAAAGAATATTCCCAGACCAATAAAACATGTAGCAACTTTTAACTCGTTCCCCAAACTATCAAACAAGACAATTTATTTTTTAAGGAGAAAATGAAGTCCAACGCAACAGCTAGTTATGTATATACTTAATTGCACAGAGTTTGCATAAACATCAAAAATAATGATCCAAGGACAACCAAGGAAGTAGCAGCAACTCCTGCTCAAATAAAGATAAGATTGTATTAACATGACAAACTTGGAAGAAAAAATTAGCTGGGTAGAATAGTGACGTAACTATGAAGATAGTCTCCATTGTTTGGAGAAAATGCAAGATCCTGGCCTAGTCAAAGAAATCCTAATCTAAAACACAAAAACTCCCCAAACAATCAAAAGCGTGAAGAATCCAAAACAGAGACATGCATACAGGGGAATTCACACCATTTAGAACTATGTATTTTACATTCTGAAGTGGAAAGTGATTTATTTAGAAACACTGATCTAACCCCCGTTTCTTTCAAACATTACATGCACCTAAAAATTAGATCCCCAAGATATATTAACATGGATATACCGGGAGGTAGCCTCTACTGTGTGCCACACCATGCAACCCAGCCCACCTTGGAGAAAAATAAAAGCACATTTCTTCACCACAGCACTAGGATGATTATTCTTTCTCTAGCGCAAAGTAGAGCCCTTACAGGAACATATCTGTAGATCTTTGACCTGCCTGCTCCTAGGAAGCTGGAGAAAGCATCACGTAAGTTTTGCAAGACAAGAATCTCGCGTGACTGCCCGCGGGTCGTGCTCGACCTCTGCGGAGGGTGGCCAGCTTCGCCCCGGCTAGAGCCGCGACCGGCTCCCCGCGGCCGCTGCTGTGGGATTCACCGCTGAGATGACCGGCAGGTACAGGCTTCAGGAACAGACCTTAGGCAAATCCAAACTACCGCAAATAAGTCCTGCAGCCATTTTACTGGAGGAGTTTTAGGAAGGGAGTTGTACTGAGAAAGAAGAAAACGTAAGGCAACTGGTCTACACCATTGCACTTTGTTAGAGAACCAGAGCAGTTCTACACAAAATACCTTTGCCAGAAAACGGTCTAAAAGGAAAAACAAAACAAAAAAACAATGCAACCAAATTAGGTCAAGAGGCTCTTAAAAACACACACTGCACCTACAGTCAGATGAAATAACCGGTTCTAGGTTCCAGTTTTCCCAGAAACACACTTCCCTCTTTCTAAAGTACAAACTAATAAATATACTTAATCAGGTACAGAGGGAGCAAAAGGCAAGCACACAGCTCACACACATTCCCTTCTCTTCGGGATTTCCCAACAACAGTCACTGCCAGTTTTTCAGTCCTGAACCTACCAGGACACTACAACAAAGACACTATCTACAGATAACCTCACAAGACCAGATTTTCACCTCAGTGCGTTGCAAAAACCCCTACCAGGTGGAAAAAGTACACATGTAGCTGGAAACAAGAAAAGCACCTTCCTATCTTTCCCTGGCTCCAGGAAAAAAAAAAAAAAATCGCTACCCTCCCCCACTAAATTCCTTCCAGTTTTCTCAAACTCAGGGAAATGAACCCAGAATTCAAATTTGCAAGTTAAAAGATACGCGAGAACATTGAGGCTCCCTGCCTAAGTCCTACAGGGCTCTCTACAGGGACAAAGCAATTCCGTTTTCGCCTATTTGCAAGACAAGAACACATTATCACCCAGTGTCTATAAAAACCGAATTGTAAATAAAGTGTATCTACTTTGCCCAAACAGGCTAAAAAAGCCCTCAGAGTGGATACTTAGGTTTTTGTAAGTTCTGTAACTCTTTACAGCTCCAGAACGTAAGATGTTTTAATGTAAGAGTTTTTTAACTAGAGGATAGTAAGAGAAAAAACCAAAAAACCTACCCCCAGAGGCACGGGGTTTCATGTACATGTTTTTTTCAGCACACGAACAAAGGAGCCCTCCCAGACCCTCTCAGTCCAAGCCGTGTGTCCCCAATTTACATGACAGGGCCTCCCGTTCACCTCGCGGGCAGAGCACCACAGCGTGCCCTGGCAGAAGCCCACCCCTCGGCCACCACGCCCTGGAGAGCCCCCGCCGCGTCTGGAGAAGCCCCCGCTGCTCCTCAAGCCCCGGGCCACCCCCGCCGCGGCCGCACGGAGCGGGCCCCCTCCCGATAGCTTTCCTCCCAGATGTGGGATAGCAAGGGGCAAATTTTCCTCATTAATTAGTTATTCCCGCTCCCTCCTGCCTCCGGACGGGCGGCGGGGCCCAGGCACCGCTGGTTGCCCAGAGCACGGCCTGGGAAGGCGTTGAGCGGGGCTCCCCCGCCCGGCTGCCCTCAGGGAGAAGCGAGGGCTCCCGCTCCCCTGCCACGGCAGTTTGAGCTGCCCCTTCAGTGACCCGAGGCCGCGCCCGCCCTTCCTCGCCCTCCGTAAGGCGGCACTCGCCCCCTCACCCGCGGGCTCAGCCACCCCCAAGGCCAGAGGCAGCAGAACAAAACCTCGGCCCGCTTAAGGCGTTACTCACGCGAAAGGCCACCGAGCCGCCAGCGCTAACCGACAGGCAATTCAAACGCCAACATCCGCCGCCCTCCCGGAAGCCGGCAGCCAGCCCCCGCCCCCCGTCGGCCGTTGCATCGGCGCTCGGCCAACTGCCCTTGGCGCGCCGCCGCGGCGGGGGGAGCCCCGCGATCCTGGGGATCAGTACTTGACTGGAGGGGCTGGCGGGCGGCGGCGGGCGGTGCTGGGGGGCCAGGTTTGGCGGGCGGGAGCGGTGGGGGGCGGGGCCAGGGCGGGGCCGGGGCGTGTCGGCAGGCTGGCCGGTCTTCATCAGTCAACTCTCTGTCCTGGCAAGGTGCAGGTTTTCCACAAACTGTGTACCCTCAGCCCGTGCAAACTCCATCGTACCAGGCAGCCTATTTTAGGAAGCCTGTTTTGGAGTATTTCCCTAAGGAAACGATAAGTTTTTTTCCGAGGAATCTACTTTTGTTTGTTATGTTACTATCTTTGCAGCTTGTTCTCAGGGGGCCTGAGCTATCCTGTACAGCCACAGTGCTGCCCTGTTTTTCCCACAGCTGGTGGGAAACCCACTTGGACACAGTGACATTTGCTACAGTAGAACAGAGTTTCTCAGCTAAAGCTCTGTATTTGATGTTCACCCTCATGTTTTGTCATCTGATACCACTGTAATGGTGGGCAGTGTCAAAAGGAAGCCCAGACCAGTGGGCTTTGGGACGTTGGTGAGCTTTTCTTCCCAGTCCCAAGGCCCAGCCGGAGGGAATGCTGAGCAGCCCTCGGCAGAGCACCCACCCACCCACCCACCCACCCTCCCTCCCTCCCATCAGTGTCGGTAGCTGATCTCCCACCCCATCCCCCTACCCAGGCGGGTCTCGCCACTACCTGGTCCAAACCTATATTCCCCCTGGTAACTTGACTGTCAAACCTGGAGTCTCTGCAGTACCTGACACCCAGAACCAAGCTCTCTCCAGTAGCTAGGTCCCAGACCACTTACCCTGTTTACAGCTGCCCTCCTTGAAGTTCACTGGTGGCACACACAGACAGAACAGGGAGCTTGCACAGGAATATGATGAAGGAATTGGCAAGTGTGCTGACCAGCAGCTTATTTTCATACAACTGGCCCCTGTTGTCCCACTGCCTCTCTGTTTTCCTGTGCATGTTCATCCTCAAGGTACCTTCATCCCACACTTTCTCCATCTTTGGCCTTTCCCCTAAAAAACCCATGACGCATTTTACATAATCATACAATCACCCTAAAATATCCCATAACGAGTTCTTCTCTGAGAGACTTGTGATAATCTTCCTTCCCCCTCATCAGAAGAAAGTTCCAGTTAAATCTCCTCAAGGCTTTGAATGATTCTGTCAATAGCCCATCAGTGGCCTGAGATTTCTGGTCTTTGGCATTGTCTCCCTTACCTCCTGGGTTTGTGTATTTGGAGCTTAATTACTTCTCCTCTCTGTTGTCCAAGTCTTGTATGTTGAATAGATGTTAATCAGATATCCTCAGAAAAAAATTATTCCACAGATTCTTACAACATGTACTTCTGAAAAAGGAGGGTATCTCTAGATGTGGAACAGGACAAAAGGTAGAGACAATTATAGGTAATTACTGGTTTGATTTTTAAAAAGTGATTTTTAACAAATTACACTGGTTTTCCTAAATGTGCCTCAGTATGGTGGGGGTCCCATTTTATCCAATAACTGAGCGCCAACTTGCTATATGAAAAATCCAGAATAGATTCCATCTTGCTACGTGGACTTGAGTCTACATTTTCAAGAAATGCAGAGTATCATTCTTGTCTGTACCCTCTCTGTCTTGCTGACAATTCTAACATATAAAAGGAAGTGTCACACTGCCAATTGGAATGATGAGCTTTAATGTTGTCTTTTGAGAGCTGGAGATCAAACCCCGGTTTGCCACATTCTCGATAAATGTCCCAAGTAATGGTCTACTGAATAAAGAAAGAATGTGGTTATTATTTTACTATCTCCATCTTTTGTAATATGTACCATTACTTCCTTTGCTGTATGCTGATAATTTCCAGCTATGGTATATTCCATTTTGGGTCAGCTAATATATTCTGTTTTTTTTTTTTTTTATTATTATCAGTCAGAAAAAACCTCAACATTTTTGTTTTCTTTCTGTCTTTATCAGTCATTCATGTAGTCCTACCCAGAAGGGAGAAAAAGCTCTAGAGGATAAATTAACATTTGAATGTATCTGTCTGTTCTGCTGTTTTTTATGGATTTATTTTTTTTTAATGAGACAGCCTCAAACATTTTTCTATATTTATGTAAAGCTCTGACAAGCAATAGCATCCTCCTCTAAACATCTGAAGTATGGTGGGCTGTCTAGAATTCCAAATCACATATGGAGATGCTCAGTCATGGCATAACTTGTTCAGTTTATAGGACCTAATCATGATGGCAGCATTTTATACTCAATTTGCATAGTTATATATTAATAAAATTACAATAATACCTAATCAGATCCTTATTCTTTAATTGTTTTTAGGCAAAAGGTGGCCAGCTTACCGTATTTTTTTTCTTTTTTTTTTAAATATAATGGACTTTCTTTGTTCCTTTGCTTTCACATAACCCTTTGAAAAGTACTAGCTCACTGTCTACCACAAAATGCAAGTTTTTTTTTCCCTAGTTCTCCCCTATTATCTTTTCTGGTCCTTGTTTGAATGTTTTGATCTGAAATCACTTCTGACTGTTCTCGATGTCTTTTGAACTCAAACATACCACCTCTTGGCAGCAGGAATTTCCTCACAAAACATCAATTTCAGGTCTCCTGGTACCAGGTTGCTCAGATAATAAGCAGGTCTGTGGGCAGCAATGGTTAGGGGTGATATTTCTCCTGCTGTGAGATGGTGTGGCTTTACCCCGCAGAGATCATCTACTGCCTGCATTGCTGTGTTCATTCTGGGTCAGGAGCTTAATGTGCCTCTATTAGTGCAATACCGCTCTGTTCCACTCCTTGGCCTTTCAGACAGGACATAAACTAAATTGCTTATAATTTTTCCTTCCCAAGCTAAAAGTTTAAATGGTGCTTCTCTTCTGATGTATTTGAACACTGTGATCCAGTATCAGCACTCTGCCGAGGCCAAGGCAACTGTGTTGCATAGATGAACCCTGGGGGAACAACTGAGATACCAAAGTGAAAGTGATTGCACACCTTGTATCTCTTACCCCTCCTGAAGTTTAGAAAGAGCTTAAAAGTACCTTTCTACAGTTGTAGTTTATGTATCTGTTTTTTTTTCTTGCTTGTTTATTGAGATTTTAGGTTAATTTAAAAACTTAGAAAGTTTTTCCTTTTTCACCCTGGAAATAAGAGGCAGGAAAACTTCTACTTATCATCTCCCAAACCAAATGAACAAACTCTAGCCTGTAAATGTGCTGTTTTGCTTGAATAGCTTATGTTTTATGTTTGAAAGTTATATTTAAATGTCAGCTAATACTTACCTTGCAGAAAGCATTTTGTAGTCATTAATTGCAGATTGTGGGACATGCTGATGATATTTGATGAAGTATTTATTTAACATGCAAACAGCCAGCAACAATATCTTTTCAAAGAGTAAGATGCATCCTGTTATTTAAAGGACAGGTGAACAGTTAAGTCTTAAAGAGAAGTGGCCTCGTATAGCTTCTTCAGCACTCTGAATTCACTTCTGTAAAGAGAAATACTTTTGGTTCAGAGTTTTTAAAAATATTCCAAAAGAAAATTGTATCTTTTTTGTATAGTAAGTAACTATAAGGAAAATAGGTAGTTGGGAAATTTTTTTTATATTCTAATGCCACTTAGTTCTTTGAATATTGAAGTCTTCCATTATTTCTTAAATATTTAAAACAGGTTAAGATTTTTTGAGGTGTTCATTTGAACATACAAATATTTTATGTAATTTGGCAGATAGGTAGCCTTGCTTATGAAATCCCTAACCCACCTCAGGCAAGAATCTTATCTGCAAAGATTAAGTAGAATATGAAACATTTTCTTGAAGCATTTAAATAAAATACTTATTTGAAAGGTGAGCAGGAGTTGTTCCTTTAAGGGCTGGTATGTTCTGTTTAGTTTACTATGGAAATCTTAAAGTTTTTATAAATAAGCGGCAGTAGGCAAACTTAGCGGAAATCTGTTGAACCAAAATACTTCAGTCAGATAGACTATAGTCAGCTTACTTACCAAGTCATAACTAAACAAGTCCATGTCAGTGCAGAGTGAAACAGGTTACGTTAAACCATCCAGGAAGACTCAGATGCGGGAGCAGTCAGTGCATGCCCAAACAGAAATTTCTCAAGCATCTCACAATAAACCAAAATTATACATCAGGTTATGGCTTTTTTTGTTTGAAGAAAGTTTCTGTCCCCTCCTTACCATGTTTCTTCTGCTGAAAGCTCATGGAGAACCCTACTGGAGGGGTGATGAGTGCCTGTTGTTCTTTCTTAATAAAATAGGACTTGTTTTGCTGATCTTTAATGAGGATGTCAGAAAGAGCCCTAGGTTTTGGAAACCATGGGAACACATCTCTGAATTGTTATTGAGGGTTGGCCATCATTTAGACTTGACTTTAAATTCCTTTCACCTAATATCCAGTCAATCACATTTTCTTTTCCTTTGATATTGATGCTTGGAACATCATTCACAACTAAGATGGAAAAGACCCTTATAATTTTAACAGATACAGGGACAAAGCTTCTCACACCAAAAAGGAAGCTGCCCTGACAAAAAATAGGTTGTTGGTTTATTTAAATACATGTTTTTTAAAGACCTTTGCTTTAACTGTGACAATCAAGATGCTAATTTTGGCTTCTCAGTGGTAGATCATCCTTCAGCCCACCCTGAAAACCCTTTGTTTTCATCAGATCCAGATAAGACAGAAACACAGGTCCCACTCCCAAGTGAAACTGTGAAACCTGTGGTGTACCTGGAGGCAGTACATCATTGTTCTGTGCTGCACAAACACCTTTGAATTACATATGAATTAAGATCCCAGCTCCAAGATCCAGAATGCCTGTTGCAATTTTGTTGGTTTGTAACACTTAATCTTGTTTCAAAAGATTTAGATGCTAATATAAGAATTTTACCATGAAAGATTAGTTCTAAAGTCTCACAAAAGCAGAAGAAAAATGGTGAAGGCCTCAATGAACTCTCTGCTGAGGTACTTCACTTAAGTAAAAAGCAGGAAGGTGTTAGGGGATTATAATATTTACATTTTGTTTGCT